AGGGGGGAAAGGAAAAAAAAAAAGAGAGAGAGCTACATCTGAGTCCTTTTCTTCCCAGAGTAGAAAGGCAGGCAGGCAAGGCAAGGCAGGCGCGCGCACACACACACAGCCCGAGAGTCCCTACAGCCTCAGAGCAGCCGTAGCAGCTGATTGAATGGCTGTCGTTGTCGGTAACTCACCAAGGAGGTGGTACGAACAATCGGAGAGGGATTTGTGTGTGTGTGTGTACAAGAGACGGGAGGGGAAAGGAGAGGAAGCATAAAAAAAAGAAAAAAAGACAAATACGATCTGTTCTGCTCTGCCTACTGATAGGCAGAAGGGGAGAAGAAGCTCCTCTCGGCGAATGCAGCTGCTGCTCCTGTTCCGCCGGTGGGTATGAATGCAGCCTCTCCTCTACGCGCCGCACTTGATCCAACGTGGAAAACCCAAATACCAGTTTCAAACACTTGGGAAACATTCAGCCCCGCCGCCCAGGGCGCATGCGCACCACTCCCATCTACCTTGAACACCACCACCACCAACCCCCCCCCCCCCCCGCCGCGACACTAAACAGCAGAGGCGCTCGATGTGCTTCTCTGTCTATATAATCGTTGCATTTCCCTCCCTCGCTACTGGCGGAGAAGGAAGTGAGGGAGGCGCGGGTGGGGGGAGGAAGCAGGCAGCTCGCTCGCTGCTGAGATGCGCGGATCCTGGGTGTCGTGTGCATTGCGAGAGCAAAACACTCTTCCTCCCCCACCGATGCAGACGTGCCTCACGCATGGAGGGGACGGGAGAGTTGGAACTGTGGGCTTGCTTGCGGCTTCAGGGAATGCACATGCGTGCCGAAGGATCCAGCCGTGCGCCGGCTGCATCGCAGGGTGGCAGCAACTTAGGGCAGCGGCGGAGGCCTTCCGTGCCTTCATTATTTGTTGCTGCTTGACTTAAAGCAAAGCAAGAGAGCGAGTTTGCGAGGGGGGTTCGCCTCCGCTTAAGGGGGAGGGACTTTCACCCTGTCGCTTTTGCACACGTGCTTGGAAACGCGTGAAACTCCCGAGGATTGCTAGGATTGCAGCGAGCGAGCCCCGGTTTCTGACAACGCAAGGACCAAGGGAGGCGTGTTGTGTTGTGTCGTGTTGTGTGGGGAGGGTGGGCTGTGAAAGGCACGATGCTCCCTACACACATGCACCCTTCCCCTTAGTTCGCAGGACTTTCCCCCCCGCTTAAAACAGAGGCGGCCTTTTTTTGCTCCTTTCCCTCCTTGAAAACTAATAACCGGAGCAACCGCATCGAGAACTATAATCCAAGTTAAAGGCAGAGCCTCTGGCCAATCGCGGCTCAGCCTCGCGCTCCACCCCTCCGCTTCGGCCGCCCAATGGGAGGTCGCGGGTTTATGGTGGTGGAGGAGGTGGTAGGGGGGCCGGAAGAGAGCGAGCGACGAGGAAGGCGGCGGTAGCGCATGCGCACACCGTCATCCATGGAACGAGAAAATGGAGGGTGCGAAGCGGGAGGTGAAAGGGAACTACATTTCCCAGCAGCCTTTCCTTTCTTTTCTCTCCCGCACCGCAGGCCGCATGCGCCTGGGTTGTGGCCATTGCAGTCCCGACATAGGGGTAATCCCCCACTGCTTTTTTAAGGTTGCCTGATCTGAAAACCAAGGCACACTCGGCTGCAGAAAACAAAAGGAGGGGGACGCGTGGGGAACGAGGTTACTTAGCGCCCGGCAGTTATTTGCCGGTGTTAATTCATTCAGATGTATTCCTCACCCACTCCCCGTAGCCTGGGAATGGAAGTAGCTGGTGCAAGCATTCCTAAATAGGCGTGCTGCTGGTGCGAAAGAGGCGTTGCGATTTAGGGCACATGGGTGAATTGGGATCGCTGGGAAAACGTGGCCGGGAGCGGGAGTAGAATAAAAAAGGCCTTCAGCTGGAAAGTGGTAGCAAATGCCATACTTGGTTCCTGCTGCCGGCTGCTCTCGCCCACTATAGATCTCGGAAAAGGCAAAATGTTTTCACAACTGGGGTTTGTGAGCACTTTCCACAAACCAACAACACTGGGTTGTCGGCAGGATAAACTTGGGGTTTCAAATAATGCACGCTGTAGCCTGGGATGCTGTATAAAAAATAGACAAGACAGACGTGTTTGTTGTTGTTGTTTTGAAAGCAAAGCAAGAAAGTAAGCTTATTGCGACTTCCTGCAAACGGCTTCTCTTAAAAGTACGGGCGATGCGCAGCAGCCGCTGTCTCGGATCTAACATTTTTGAAAGTGCGATACTGTATTCCTGAATGGCACTACGGGGATACCTGCATACTCTGCGCAAGCGGGGTGGCGGCGGCAGTGCCCACTTGGGGGGCGGGCAGAGTACTAATCCGGCAGGCGAGGAACGGGAGACTTTGCCTTTGATCACCAGGGACCATTACGATCTGCAGCAAACTCTTCGCCCACCATAAAGGAGAGTCAGGAAGATGCATCAGCAGCCACCTTCGCTGCTCATTACTTAGCTCAGCTTCTGGAAATAGCATCGCCAAAACCGCGAGGGCGGTGGGAAGAGATGCCTTCCCTTAAAAGCATGGATCTGTATCCATTCCAAACTGCTCGGCTTTTCCCTCTCCAAAGCGCGATGCGGGGGGGGGGGTAGATTTCCAAAGGAAGCAGCTTCTTTTATTCTATGCTATGTCCTTCACAACCCGTTGCCAAGAACAGGGATCTGGATTTGCCCCAATAAGCTCGTTTAATAAGAGTTTCCCTGATCCGCCGCTGCTGAAGCCATGATCAAATAGTGGTGGATCTCGCTGGTAGAAGGGGAGGAGCTCTCCCAAAAGACACGGTGCTTTGTTGTCTTCCACGTCTCCACCGGCTAGCAGGAAGGTTCACTTTTCCTTTCTGCATTTTCTGCACCAGGCAACAATGGCTATTACTGTACATGTAAGAAGCAAGAAACACCCACACATCAGCCCCCTAAAAAAACATTGAAGCCCATTGGTTAAGTCATGAAAGACACACTCCCCCCCCCTTTCCTCTCCCGCCTTTCGCTTCCCGGAATCTGCAGCCTGTAATTTGTTAATTTTTCCTTTCCTCTTTCTCTCCCCCCTGCATCTTTTAGTTCTGTCTGGTAGAAAGCGAAACAAAGTAGGATTTCCTAAAAACGATGCCCAGTGCTTTAGAGTCTTCTGGAACTCAAGAGAAACTATGGCTCCGAATCTAGACAAACTTACCTGTGAGTAAGCGCCATTGAACTCAGTGGAGTTTACTTTGAAGTATAGGTTTGCAGGGTGTTTGTATGGCAAAGCCTGATACCCTTTCTATAATCAGAGTCTATAGGACAGCACAGTACAGTCTGGGGCAGGAAGATTTTTCTCAACTTGGGTGGCCTCCCCCCTCCCCACTAGCAATTAGACCAGTTGATTAGCCCCTTAATTTAGCCTCATTTACTCCAGTTTATCGGAAATAATGCTGTTGACTTAGACAAAACATAAATCATATTTTTTTATTGTGTTCTCTTAAGCTGCTATATGCATTACAGTAAATGTTATTTTTTTTTGCACACAAGAGTTTAGATGCAATGAAACAGAACATGTTATACAAAGATAAAGCATTGGATTCAGACTAAGGCTGCAAATCTGTACACACTTATCTGGGAGCATGTCCCATTGAACTCACATGTAACTTGATAAATTTTCCTGCAGTCACGTCAGTTTTTGGTAGGTGGGTAGGGGGGGTGACATGACTGCAGGAAAATTTATCAGGTTACGTTCAGGAATCCTGAAGAAAATGATAGGATACCTGTGGGCCCCTTTCCTTGTCTGGTTGCAGAACCGTGGGTGTTTCTTGTATGTGTGTGAGAGATTCAATCGCATACAGGCAAATTCAGCTTGTGAGAATCTTGTTATGACTAAATGCACTTTTAAAAGTACATGTGATTTTGGACTACCACTGAATTTAATCGAAGATAAAAATGCTTACCTTCGTCTGGATTGTGCCCTTTTAAAAAAACCAAACTGTATTGTTGCTGGGAGATGCTGATTTCAATAGCGTGTTGGGGGCTGGAGTAGTGTAAAATCCAATCTTGTGGAAGAGTTACCAAGAACACCTGGTTGGGACCCCACTTGGCAAAAACCTACTGCCAATTTGTCATTGACAAGACCAAGGACAAATGGACTTTCAGAGGCCATTCTGGCTGTTGTAGCGTGATCCACCTCTGTACATGATTACTCCAAAGTATGTCACACTGTGTTCTGTGGAGCTTTCTCCCTAGTAAATGTGTCTCAAACTGCAGCCTTAATTGGACCAACAAAGAACCAGCCCAGAACACATGTTTATACTCATCTACATGACTCAACAATTAAAAAATACTGGGCTGTAGAGGCCCAAGGGCTGCAAAATGAAATAAATGAGCCATTGACAAGAATATATTCTAGGTTGGCCACCCCAATAAAAGCTATCAGCCTTGTCTGTGGATCTTCTCCCAAGGAACAAGTGGACTGATGTAAAATACTAATAACCAGGAAATGTTTAGGCATCTGTAGGAATCCTGGCTAATTTTTCTCCTATAATTACAAGGCAATACAGTAATAAGTACCGCAGTAATCAAATAACACACTTTCTGAGGCGCACATGATTTGTCAGCTGCCCCATTCAGTCTTCCACTGAGAGCGAGTGCCTTATTTCCCATCTTACTGTAGGTTTTGCTTCATTTCGATAAAATTATATTTTATGGTTTAAAAAATAAAAAAATAACAACACTTTCTTTCAAATTTATCCCCCTCCCCTATACCTTGCACTTTGTAAAAAAAAAAAAAGATTCCAAAAATTAAGATCCTGGTTCCTCTTAATAACTTTGCCGTGAGATGCTCATTCAGATTGGAAACCTTGCTCTTTGTAGATCGGGAGCGAGGCTAGTGCTAAAACCAACTGCCGCCGTCGCCCGCGCTCGGAGCTCTTTCCGGGGTTTTACATTTTACGGTGCTAACCAGATCCGTTCCACCAACTTCAAAAAAAAGGAAGTCGCGGGGCGAGGGAGAGGAAGGAAGCCTACGCGCCTCAGGCGCCCTTTCCCAGCAATTCAGTCTCCTTGAAGGACGCATTGCATCGAAAGCTATACTTTTATCTGCTAAGGACGGTCGCGCTATTTCCAAGGTCGGTGGGAACCGGGAGAGCAGGGGATTTGGAAGAAGAGACGAGAGGAGGGAATGCGAAAGCTATTGCAGCCGAGGCGCTATTCTACCAGGGCGGCGAGCAACCCAAATGCCGCCTCCTTCCCTCCGCTTTCCCCTCCCAGCTTCAGGCAGAGAAGGCTCCTCCTTTTCCTGCTGGGTTTTCTGGCTGTAGCCGCACAGGCGGCGCCGGCTGTTGCTACAGGCGCGGCGGGCTGTGCGCGTCTCCCTTTCCTCTTCCGAGCGGTTCCGGCGCCCGCGCAGCGCCGCCCTCCTTACGCCAAGGAGGAGGCGCGCTGCCTCCTCATTGCATTTCTGCAGCCCGACCATGCGGGCGCCGCAGCCCGTGGCGTTGTTGGCCTGGGCGCCAAGCAGCTGATTTGTAAAGAGGAGCCGGGAAACCAAACCCAAATTGCCCCAAACAGGCTCGGGGGCCGCCGTCGAGGAGCATGTTTCGCGCTTTCTTGGTTCCTTGGCGCGCCGGCGCCGGCTGCTCCTCCTCCTGCTCGCCGCGTCTGGGTTTCAGGCGTTATGGGAGACTGGCCCTCCTCCGCCTATCAGCCGGCGAAGGGGCTTCAGCTGCTGAAGGCAAGCATCTTCTGGGCGTCGCTTCCCGGAGAGCAAGGTGCAGCGGTGGTCCGGAGCGCGGGACCAAGTGGATCAAGCCCGCGGGCCGGGACAGCGGAATCCAGGCGTACAACAGCCTGAGCAGAAGGAAAGAGCCTCTCATCCTGCGAAACGCGGATGTGGTGACTTGGTTAGAATACTTAGAAAATTGTGCTCCTATTCCTTTTAATTTATTCCCCCCCCCTTGCCGGGACACCTTCATAGCTAGCAATAAAATGGATAGGTAAATAATAAATAGGTAAATAGGTAAATAAAATGGATTCCTCTCCGCTCCCCACCCCCAGCAGTGAAGAGGGAAAACTCACCTTTTGAGATGTTGTAGTTTGTTAGAAACTAAGCTCCCAGGGGAGCTAGTAATTAGTAATGCAGTACATTTGGGTCTAGCTAAATATTAAAATATTAGGACGTGGGTGGCTAAACCACAGAGCCTAGGGCTTGCCGATCGGAAGGTCAGCAGTTCGAATCCCTGTGATGGGGTGAACTCCCGTTGCTCGGTCCCTGCTCCTGCCAACCTAGCAGTTCGAAAGCACGTCAAAGTGCTTCTGGCGGGAAGGTAAATGGCGTTTTTGTGTGCTGCTCTGGTTTGCCAGAAGCGGCTTGGTCATGCTGGCCACATGACCCGGAAGCTGTACGCTGGCTCCCTCGGCCTATACAGCGAGATGAGCGCCGCAACCCCAGAGTCGGCCACGACTGGACCTAATGGTCAGGGGTCCCTTTACCTTTACCTAAATATTAAAAACCAGCAAAAGTTGTGGCACAATCCTTGGGTGCTTTATGTGGAAGTAAGTTGGATGGAACTTAGTTAGATGTGCATAGGATTTATTTGTGGGGTCTTGCTCAGTAATCCGGCTCACAGCTATACGCTGAAACCAGAATTGCACCATGGCATAATGGATACAGACTTTGAGAGAGGTAGGGAAGCAATTTCTCAGAAGGTGTGCAAGTAAGCAGAAGGCTGAGACATGGTGGAGAACAGGGACACTGAACGGAACAGGTGTGAGTTCAAAAATGGGGAAATCGAGGTGTTGGGTATCTCTAGGAAACAAGGCAAGGCCAGGAACAGAATAACAGAAAGCTTTAGGCAAACTTGACAGAGGAGGCAGCAGTTAAGGAGCGTGGGGAAGGACCAAATCCAGGAACCTTGTATTGTTTGCTTAACAAAGACTTGGTTTTTTCCGGGGGGGGGGGGGCGGAATCAGTTTTCCCTACTGTGCCTAAAGTGGGTTCAGAGGTCATGTGCTTCACCCTCCTTACTCAACTGTGTAATGGTTGATGTGAATTTTGAAACTGATCATTATGTAACGCCTTCTGGTGTTTTTCTTAGTAGATCTTAAATTTTTTCACAGGTATAGCTGTGGACCTACTGTCTATGACCACGCACACCTTGGGCATGCTTGGTAAGCCTTCACATGCTAAAATTTCATTTATTTTTGTCAGAATTAGTTCTGCACCAGCCGGCTTCAATATAGACTCTTGCTTTGTGTAGTAGATACTCTTCTTATGAGTACATTAGCATCAAGCTGTTTTTCAGCAGAGAGCAGGAATACTAGAACTGTAACCCTGAGGAGTTAGCCAAGTGCAAGCTATCAGCATCCTGCAGAATAAGAAGTGTAGTTAAATGCACCCAAGTGAGGCTTGGAAGAAAAGATGCGGGGGGGGGGGGAGTCAGCCTGGTGTGGAGAAAAATTCACTTCTGAGATCCAAAATATGATGGGTCACTGTGCCTCATGCTTTAACTAGGTGTTCGTCTTTCTGCTGAGGCTTCTGAAGCAAAAAATAAAATCCTAGCTTCAGTATGTCTACTTAACATAAAACCAACCTGTTTCATATCCGACTGAGGCCCGCAATACATGTGCCTTTCCCCCTCTCTTTCAGCTCCTATGTTAAATTTGATATAATTCGAAGAATACTGACAAAGATATTTGGAAAGGAAGTCGTCATGGTGATGGGGATTACAGATATAGATGATAAAATAATTAAGAGAGCCGGTGAGGTAAGTGTATGTATAGTTCAGCTTGCTTTTTGGTTCATAATCCAGTGGATTTTACAAATGTGCTGTATTGTACTGTTTGCATTATAGCCAGTCTAGGTCGGCTGTGAATGAAACGGATACAGTGGACGCTCGAGTCGCGAACGTGATCCGTGCGGGATTCACGTTTGCAACCCGCAGTGTTCGCAACCCGCAGTGGTGCGTCTGCGCACATGCGGGTTGCAATTCGGTGCTTCTGCGCATGCACAAAGCATGATTTAGTGCTTCTGCGCATGCGCGAAACACAGAAGTAACCCATTCCGGTACTTCTGGGTTTCGGCAGGTCTGTAACCCGAAAAAATGCAACCTGAAGCGTCTGTAATCCGAGGTATGACTGCATTACATGGCAGGATCAAAATTTGGGAGATTTGCAGACTCTCTTTATCTTTTTATAGGTGAAAAGTTCTGCTAGGCCTCAGCCAAACAAGAGAGAGGCTTCTCTCAATTTGCAGTTAGGAGATCTGTCCCCATGCCTGTCCCTCTTGAAGTAAATTTTCATCTCCTACCTTAACCTCTGTTAAAGTAATGCAGCTGTGGCAGTGTTAGCTGTGATAAAGGAATGAAGGCGCTGGATAGGAATGCCTCTGAAGGAGGAAGTGTGTATTTTGGGATTTCTCTGAGATCCATCACTGTCACTAGTGATGGATCAGGTGACATCAGTGGTTCAGAACACACATTGCCAGTTTTGACTGGTGCAACCATTCCTGGAGAGGGATAGCCTTGCAGTAGTTTATGCATGGATAGCCTCACAGTTAGACTACTGTGATGTGCTATTTGTGGGGCTGCCCTTGTACTTGCTTTGGAATCTTCAGCTAGCACCAAATGCAGCTACTATAGTGCTTTACACATGTTACACCAGTGTTGAAAGATGTGCACTGGCTATTAGCTACTGAGCCATGTTCAGAAGAGTTTGGTTGTTGTTATTTAAAACTTTGGGAACCAGAATATTCTGCAAACTGCTTCCCCTGGTACAGACCAAGTCAATCTTTTAAGATCTTCAAAGGAGAGCCTGCTAGTTGTTCTGTGACCACTTGGTTACTTGTTGACAATGCTTAAGAAGTGAGCCTTCTTGGCGATAGCACCCATCCTTGGGTTATTTGTGAGGCAGAAACAGCAATACCTTTGAATACTTCTTTAATATTATGTTCCCCTAAACCAGGCACCCCCAGACTCGGCCCTCCAGATGTTTTGGGACTACAATTCCCATCATCCCTGACCACTGGTCCTGTTAGCTAGGGATGATGGGAGTTGTAGTCCCAAAACATCTGGACGGCCAAGTTTGGGGATGCCTGACCTAAACTTTCCTGGACTTCTTAATGTTTATTTTGTTTTGCACAATGCTTGTTTTTTCTTTGTGCTATACAGTTTTGTGTTCTTACCACATTTTAAGGAACTTTTATTGGTGGTAGTGATTGTCATTTTTTTATAGCTTTTGTGTAAACCACCTAGAGATTTATATGCATATGTATAGAGAGTGTGTGTGTACTGTGGTATACTTTTAAAATTAATAAATAGTAACCAGGATTCCCACTTAACAAGGACTGGAAATCATTATCACATTTTAAAGCTTCTCTTCCGGTTATCTGTCACAATTCTACCCAGATGCCTCAGTGCCATCAAATGCTAACCTACCTAAATGTGGTTAAACCTTGCAATTCAGTAAATTTTTTCTGTTTCCTCCTCTGCCCAATTTTCTGTCCTAACATTTGGCATAATATATTGGCACTGAGCAGCTCAGTTTTTGTATGCTGGGAATTTCTGAAACATTTAAATGTAGTAACTTGAGTTGTTGACGTATGGTGCCTCTTGTACCATAAGGGGGGTCCACCAAGCTTTCGTCCATACTGTACTTAACATTTTTACTTGTCGCTCATAGTTCCTTCTTTCCCACCAGCTCTGAAGGGGAAGATCCAAAGTCCTGAAAAATACTTTTTAAAACATAAGCAAAAAATAATAATCCCAGGCTGCTTCCTGCATGATCCCAAATCAGCCTTCTCCAACTTGGTGTTTGTGCTGGTTGGAGTTGATGGGGAGTTGCGGTCAGAAACATATAGAAAGCACCATGCTGGGAAAGACTGTCCCAAACAATCTGGGATCCTGTGGGCAGAATAATGATGTCACATAGACAATACGATTTGGTTTTGTGGTGGTTCCCCCTCTGAGCTGACTTTCTGGTGGTGCTAGGGAGCTAAAACCAAGGGAATTCCTTCAAAATGATAAACACTTGCTTTTGTAGGCCTCAGCCCCAAACAGTAATCAAAACAAGTGGGTGCGCTGTGGGGGGAGGGAATATCTTTCCATTACCAGTCCAGTTTGGCCCATTTTGAACTGTGTCTTCTTTTATCTCAATGAAATGAGTAATAGTATTAAGTGTTTCAAGGAATTTCCCTGAAAGTTTGGGGTTTTTGTTGTTGTCAGGGCTCCGGAGAGCTGTCACCTGTCATTCCTGTTTGACTATGAATGGGGGTATTTTTAATTCTGTGTTTGAAATGGAAGCTACCTTTAGATTAAGGATGTCCCTCCCTCCCCTCAAAAAAGATCAGTTCCCTTCTCCCTTGATATGTAAGATTGTTGTGCTCTTCGGGCTAGCAGTTAATGTGGCTTATTGGTTTTATCTTGGATTTCTTTTCCCTCCTTCAGTTCGCTATTAACAGATCAAACAAATTTACCTGTGCGCTCCTTTCTTACAGATGGGCATATCACCAGTGTCTCTTGCTCGTTTTTATGAGGAGGACTTCAAGCAAGACATGGATGCTTTAAAGGTACAGATATTTCCTCTAATATGGAAGACATCTTTTATTTGTTGGAAAAGATGCCTGGGCAGTGGTGGACCTCTTCCTTGGTCTGTTGAGCTAATTGCCTATGTCTCCCCAACTTTGTTGATGTTTCCTGCGAAGTTGGTGTTCTTTTTGTTATTCTATTGACCAGGTAACACTTAAACTTGCTGCTGATAGTCCACATTTATTAATCAAAGCTGGTGACTTCTTTTAAATTTTCAGGTTCTACCTCCTACAATATATATGAGAGTGACTGAAAATATTCCTCAGATCATTTCTTTTATACAACAGATCATTGCTAGCGGGCACGGTTATGCAACATCGAAAGGTAAATCTTCTGAACAATGCAATTGCATGTTAATTAGTGTAGAAGACATTTTTTGGTGTCTGGTTTTTTTCATGTTGCCTTGATTACATTTTGTTCAGCTGCTGAATAGCAAATACAGAGTTAATGTAACTATTAACTTTGAGCCATTGTGGCCTAGTAGTTAAGAGTGGCAGACGAGGACCTGTGAGAGCAGGGTTCAAATCCCCACTCAGCTAGGAAGTTCATTGAGTGACCTTGGGCCAGTCTACTTTGCCAGATGATTCCACATGCAGCTTGCTTGGTCTATGTGATCAGCATAGGGGTACCATCTCCTCATGGTTGCTGGCACTGTTCAGTACCCTGTGTGGTGGTGTGCTGGGTGCATAAATATTGAGGAATGTGTAGATCAGGGTTTCCCAAACTTGGGTTTCCAGATGATTTTGCACTAACAACTCCCATCCTCCCTAGCTAGCAGGATCATTGGTCAGGGGATTGTAGTCCAAAAACAGCTGGAGAGAGACCCAAGTTTGGGAAACCCAGGTGTAGAGTTTCCCCTTAATCCAAGGGTAGTCAACAGGGTGTCCTCCATCTATTGTTGCACTCCAACTCTCATCAGCTCCAGCCTGCTGGAGCCTTCAGGGATGATGTGAATTGTAGTCCAACAACTTTTGTAGAGCACTACATTGGCTACCCTTAAATTGGCTAGGCCTTAAATCAGCTACGCCTTAAATCAGTAGGCCTAATCACTTCCATCTTTGTAATAAGACCAAACTGTTTATTTCCGACAGGTAATGTTTATTTTGATGTCCGTTCTAGGGGAGACAGATACGGAAAGCTAACGCAGGTTTACCCTGACACCCAAGAGGAACCAGGTAAGTTAACAAAAGCTGTATTGGTTTCTGCATGAATTACGGAGGCTTTGTATGTATTCTATGCAAAAAGTATATACATAGAAAGGAAGCCAGTAGCTCTGTTTTAACTTGGTTCAGTGTAAGCCAGGGGTGCTAAGCTGTAGCACATGGGCTGCATCTGGCTCCTAAAGGGTCTTTTGTGGGAGCCCCCCAGTTTTAAATTTAATTTGTATAAGTTATTTCCAACTGCTTTCATAAGTACATCACTGTGGTGCTCTGGACACCCCCTGAACCCATGTTTGTCCATTTTTATTAAAAACAAAAACTGACAGCTCCCACAGAGATGTCCTCCTAGTGGTGCAGCCATAAAACTTCTAGCCCATTTGCAAAGTTAAGCAGGGTCCAGTATGGTTTCAAATTGGATGGAGGACCATGTGTTGACATTCCTTGCATTGCAGGGGGTTGAACTTGACGTCCCTTGAGTTCTCTTCCAACTCCTACAATTCTATGATTCTGATTCCCCTGCTGTGATTTTGTGATGTTCCCCTCAGGTGACCCCGCTCCCCAAATATTTGGCCTTTAAAATTGCACTGAAAGTGGCCTAAGGCCTAGTGGCAGGTCTTGAGACACGCTGGTGAGACGTATGAAGCTGTCCAGATTACTTACGGAATACAGAAGAGATCTCTTTTACACACTTAACTCATTCTGAGCATCTTTGTTAATGGCCCCCCCCCTTGTTATTGGCAGCCGACAGCGATAAGCGTAACGTGAAGGATTTCGCTCTTTGGAAGGCAGCCAAACCTCAAGAGACATCCTGGGTTTCTCCCTGGGGGAATGGAAGGCCTGGCTGGCACATTGAGTGTTCAACGATATCAAGGTCAGCCGGTCTGGACTTCTTCGTCTTTGTTTCTTTATGAGCATGCATTAGAAAGCGATTGACATGTGAATCACGGAAGGTTTCTGTTGAAAACAGTTTTATTTTTTAATAAGTGACAATTGCAGTAATGGCAATTGCAGTTTGGGGAGAAAGCAAATAATGAAATCACATTTTAAGGACAGCTCTTCTGAGTGGAAGGGCTGCAAACTGAAGGCAGTGACAACTGTTGCCTTTGTAGCCCACATCTTGGGCTTGCTTCGATGCGCCGTGGCAAGTCAGGAGGGCACACCAATACGAGAGATGCAGTGATCATACAGGGGAGCCAAGCTGGTGATTCCTAAACTGCGGTTTACAGTGTTATTTTAGGCAGCCTGCAAAGCCAGAGTAGAAACAGAGAGAGAAGCTGGCAGACTTGTGGCTTCCTGCAAGCATCTGGTTAGCCCCTGTGAGGGCAGGATACTGAACTATCCTGAGCCATTGGCCTGATCCAGGAGGTTCTTGTTACTTTGACTTATCTGGAGTTTATGGCAGTAAATGTCGAACAAAATGGCAACTCCTACGGTCTGTGCATCTGTACTTGGAACACACAAGGTGACATCATTTTTAGGTGACAGGTAGGCAAATGTCTTAGGGACGCGGGTGGCGCTGTGGGTAAAACCTCAGCGCCTAGGACTTGTCAATCACATGGTCGGTGGTTTGAATCCCCACGGCGGGGTGAGCTCCCGTCTTTCAGTCCCAGCTCCTGCCCACCTAGCAGTTCGAAAGCACCCCTAAGTGCAAGTAGATAAATAGGTACCGCTTTATAGCGGGAAGGTAAACAGCGTTCCGTGTGCTGCTCTGGTGCCGGTTCGCCGGAGCAGCTTCGTCACGCTGGCCACGTGACCCGGAAGTGTCTGCGGACATCACTGGTTCCCAGCCTATAGAGTGAGATGAGCGCACAACCCTAGAGTCTGTCAAGAGTGGCCCGTACGGGCAGGGGTACCTTTACCTTTACCTTTAGGCAAATGTCTTAGGGGTCTAGGACAGGTCTTTGTAGACCTAGCAGTGCTTCCCTCTTCTCCACTTCATGCTGTCTGTTCAGTTCAGCTGGATTGGGGCCCCCAAAGCACTTCAACTCAGTAGCCATTTCAAAAACAGCCTCTAATGTAGTTCATGGAAAACAAGGGACCAGAACAAGTAGTCCTCAACACTCAAAGTTTTAAGATGCATTTGGCTAAATATATTTTCTTTACTGTGAACCAATTGTAAACCGCTTAGCCGATAAAATATCTATAAGCAATATAAAATAATGATCAGTGTCATTGTCGTTGGCCTCAGTCTGTCTTGAGAGACAATGGAGATAGGTAGTCTTTGACAATCTGGAAGCTGGACTAAGGCTGCAGTTCCTCTGCTGTCTCAGTTAAACTCTTTGGGGCTGAGATTACAGTGTTTAATAAGGGTAAGGCCACTTCCATCTAGAGGTAAATGGAAGTATTGCAGCATTCAAGTAAGTGGCTCAATTTAATGCCATCCCTTTACAGTGGTACCTCAGGTTAAGTACTTAATTCGTTCTTAACCTGAAACTGTTCTAAACCTGAAGCACCACTTTAGCTAATGGGGCCTGCCGCGCCGCCGGAGCACGATTTCTGTTCTCATCCTGAAGCAAAGTTCTTAACCTGAAGCACTATTTCTGGGTTAGCGGAGTCTGTAACCTGAAGCGTATGTAACTTGAAGCTTATGTAACCCGAGGTACCACTGTATATGTGTGCAAGGGAGCAGAGAACAGGCACCTCGTACTGTATTGAACTCCAAACACTTTGTTAACGGAGCTCAGTTTGCTGGTTAATTTGGCGATAATGAATGACATCAAGAACTATTGTGCTGCATTTGCATCTGCTTCTGCCTTATTGAAACACTTGTGCATAATTGCTGCTGGTTGCAACGGCGGTTGCCTTGTTCAGACATTACATTTGCTGATGCATACCAGGGATGCATGGGACTTCTTGCATAGCAGGAAAAACTCGCTGCACATACTGTCCCTCTGTTGCTCTTATTCTGCAAAAAAACACCACGGCCAATTGAAATCAATCTTAGAATCCTGGCAAAACACACTTTGCAAGGTGCTCCTCTTAAACTGGCTTTGCCTTGTAATGTTTTAAAAAATCTTTCTGCTTATTTGGAGTGAGATCGGAACAGATTGGTAAAGTGCCATTATTGATCTGCTCCTGTGGATTGAACACAAATACAGTGCTTTTTTTCAGCGCTTCTGAAAAAAATAAATCAAAGAATATGTCACACACACACACACTTCATTTGGCTAATAGAAAACCTATATATAGATGATTCCTTGTATGATAAACTTAAGCTGATGCAGTGGTTTGAATAAATTCCAGAGTTGGCTCCCAATTCTTCTCTTTACTGAACTGTAAGAGGAACGTATTTCTCTGTCTTTTTTCTCCTCCCCGCCCCCCCCCAAACTTCCACTCACTGATTGCTTTTGTTGTAGTCTGGTGTTTGGAGGACATTTGGATATCCACACTGGTGGAATCGATCTTGCATTTCCTCATCACGAAAATGAAATTGCTCAATGTGAAGTTTATCATCAGTGTGAACAATGGGGAAATTATTTTCTACACTCTGGTAAGTGCTTAAATAAACCCCTTTTTTGCTTTTGATGTCCCTAGCATTCCATTTCATTCAGTTATGCCGTTCCGGACAAAATCAAGTTTTTAAAGGTAACATTTAATGAACATAATTACCGCATGTCGTAACTTAATTTTGATGCTCTGTATCTGTTCTTCTGTTACCTCTAAGTGCCTGACAAACACAGTTTGCTTATTGAGACTACAGAAGTTGCTTGTGTATTGCACTACTGTGTGTAAGTTTATGCTGGGTTTTTCTGAATGAGTCAGCGCAATATTTTGGAGCCTCTCCAAGCCATCTTCCTACTAGGGATCAACCGTGGCAGCATAGAAGTGGCCTGTGCAATTGGATTGACTCACAGTCTGAGCTCAGTACAAACATGGACTTGGATCCTGTGAGCTGTGAATAAGGATATTAATTTTGTTTATTAGTTGCAACATAAGGAGTCACCAAACTTCCAAAATTTTAAGATCATAAAGCAAATCAGAAGAACAATTTGTGTATGTTACATTTAAAGGCATACAATAACCCATAGAACAGACCCAATAAAACAGCAGCAGATCTTCAGCAGCAAAGTAATATCAAGAAATAGCAAAATCACCATCAGCCACCAGCTGCCTGGGAAAAGAGAGAAGTTAACGATGGCACCATGTGGACTTCACTGGGGAGAGGATTCCGCTATCGGGGAGCTGCAGCAAAAGACCCTTTCAAAGGCACCCTTGAACCTCCCTCTATAGCCCCATTAATGCCTCTTGGAAGTTGGAGGACCCAAGTGAACAGTGTGGGATAGGACGTGAGCTGTTGGTGGTTGTGGGAACTTACCCAAAATCTTGAAGAGGAACCTTTTATGAATGGAGCTGCAAGTTCCTCTGCCTGATTTTGGGTCACCTTTTCAGTGCTGCCCTCCCTATGCTCTTTCCCACATTGCTCAGGAAAGTTCCCCAACCCTCTGGATAGCCCTTTTGGGAGCTGTGGTTGGTGGGGAGAAGAAAGCGGACAAGTCCTCTTAGGTGGACTTCTTTCCATTTGTGGTTTTCAAGATGGAGGCCGTTGTGCCCTCCTGTGTGAAGCTCTCCTCCTAGAAGTGTTCTTCAGCAGTCTTCGGGTGGGGCACATGACATTTGATTTGGCCCTCTGAGGGGAGTGGAAGGGAGAGAGGGAGCATGGTGTCTTCTGTAAGGGGAATTACATATCCCTGTCCTTCTTCATGTGGATGTTACCAGATCAAGGCCCCAGAGGCCTTTGTCCTACCACAGATATTAGGAAGGAGCATTCTGGGATACTTTCACATCACATCTCTTATTGGAGTGGGAAAAGTAAGGAGAATAGTTTTGCTCATAAAATGTGCGCATGAATTGACGAGAGTAAGGCAAGCCCTTCTGAAAAAGAGTTGCCTCACGTGTGTCTGTTTTTATTTGCAAATGTATCCTAGGCATTGGTTTATTTTAAGCCTGTTGATGCTGCTTTAGATTTAGCTGCTTTTAAGTATCTCAGTACTACCTTTTCTCTTAACAGTATGAAACAAATAAATACCCAAATGGTGAAATTTCAACAAGCAGTCAGTCACAACCATTTTTACTCTTTTTGCAGAGTTGAGTCATGATTTCTGATTAATGGTTTTCCCTGTTCCTATAATATATATATATACAGTGGTACCTTGAGTTACAAATGCCTCAGGTTACAAACGCGTCAGGCTACAAATTCCGCTAACCTGGAAGAGTTACCTTGAGTTGAGAACTTGGCTCCAGGATAAGAACAGAAATCGTGTGCTGGCGGCACAGCAGCAGCAAGAGGCCCCATTAGTGAAAGCACGCCTCTAGTTAAGAACAGTTTCAGGTTAAGAATGGACCTCCGGAACGAATTAAGTTAGTAACTAGAGGTACCACTGTATATATATTTAGGATGCAACAGCCTACTTAATATTGTAAATCAGAATGCTGAAAGACTCAGAATTTTTCTACTAGAGATATTCACTCCATTATGTTTAAGACTTTGCTTTTAAAAATTACTTTCTTACATGTGCACGCTTCGAATGATGTAGAGTGCTATTTCGGTGTTCAGATTACCTGTATCTGATTAATTTACTTATCTTTACCTTTCAGTGGCGCTATTGTGAAAGCCAGCATGTTGCATTCATTAACTGATTTCTTCCTCTTCTTCTTCTTCCCATAGCTTAATGTGAATTATTCATAGGCAATTATTACTGAGTTTCAGAAAATAACTTGTCAGTGTTCCTTAACAGATTGTAGAGTTTGGGCAAGCTCATTAATGGGACTCTATTCAAGACTGCTTGCCTCTCTTGAAATATTTGTAGAAGAAGCTGATGGAGAAAATGCACAACTCTCTCTCCCCCCCTCTCTCTCTCTCGTGTGTGTGTGTGTGTGTGTGTGTGTGTGTTTAACAGTACAGTGGTGCACAACAAAACCTAAGAAGCACTTCACACAATACATGTTTCTAGCACACTTCTATGTAGAAATTGTGTGAAAGCCGTGTGCAGATAGTCACACACGATGTCCGCACACATGCTGTGATGCTCTGGTTATTCGCGACTTCCTGCCGCATACAGGTCCCAGTGGAGTCATGCCATGCGGTTGTTGCAAAGTATTGTCCATGGATAAGGTTTCCTTCTGTTTCAGCCTTTTCTCAGAAAAGAATGAGGTAAAATGGTCCTTGGAAGCCATCTTGGGCTTAAAAGTGGCACTTTGCTTATATTATATGATTGATTTGTTTAAGCAGCTTATATGCCACTTGGTTACAATAGTCCCTACACGGTATACAGAAAATACAATACAGAATATTGGGACGCGGGTGGCGCTGTGGGTAAAACCACAGTGCCTAGGACTTGCCGATCGTATGGTCGGCGGTTCGAATCCCCGCGGCGGGGTGAGCTCCCATCTTTCGGTCCCAGCTCCTGCCCACCTAGCAGTTCGAAAGCACCCTTAAAAGTGCAAGTAGATAAATAGGTACCGCTTTATAGCGGGAAGGTAAACGGCGTTCCGTGTGCTGCGCTGGTGCTGGCTCGCCAGAGCAGCGATGTCACACTGGCCACGTGACCCGGAAGTGTCTGCGGACGGCGCCGGCTCCCAGCCTCTAGAGCGAGATGAGCGCACAACCCTAGAGTCTGTCAAGACTGGCCCGTACGGACGGGTGTACCTTTACCTTTATACCACTTGGTTACAATAGTCCCTACACGGTATACAGAAAATACAATACAGAAAAGGTGAAAATTGATTAAAACTATTAAATCAAGCTTAAGTTACAATGCCTGCTGGATTAAAAGTCTTTGGTAGGTTTTGGGGTCAGGGGTAGGTGGACTGTGTTACCTCAACTGGAAGGAGGTTCCATAAAATTGGGCCCAGTTTTATGAATGCTCCATGTGTAGCAAATGAAACAGAGCCCATATGTCTCGACCTATTTGTTTCTGTTGGGATAGGGCCCTGGGATTGTTCCTTAATTTTTTAGTTGTAGAATTTCCTGGGGGTGGGCGATTTTGATCTGTGGTGCTGCAAATTAAAGGGCTAGTTGTGTTTGAGAATATTTTAGTTACTGTAATAGGGAACGAAAATGAAAATATTGGCCTTTCCTCCTAGTGCTGAGTAATAGTAATAGGCTTACTTAGTTGAAATTTACACCCTGCTTGCTTCAATATCTGGAAAACCCTACATTAATATGCAAACTATTTAAACCTAAAGCAGTTACAAGGCACATGACTAAATCAGTTACAGAAATAGCAGCACTGTTTTTAATATTTTAAAAATTCTTGTTCCTTAATATAGAACAACAAACTGAGTGAAATAGACTCTGGTCTACTGTTTTCTAGCTCCTGCTATTCTGAAAAATAATTTAACCTTGTTTTTGTCTTTTTTTTAAAAAAAACTCTGCTCAGAAAATAAAGCAAAGTCATCTTGCTTTTGTCGTTCCAGGACACCTGCATGTTAAAGGGAGTGAGAAAATGTCAAAATCACTGAAAAACTACATTACCATTAAGGTATTGTAAACTGGTGCACGCTTCCATTTAACTTGAATTCTCTGAACAGTTGCCACCACCAGGAATGTGTGTTTTGGCTTTTTTAAAAATCAAGCTCCTCTCAGTGGATTTGGCCTGTGCAGGAAGAAACGGGAGCTCTTAAGATCAGAGGGTGGGATGGAGGAATGCTTGAGGCCTGGCCCAGCTCATATTCAAGATTACCTGTGCCACCCTGGGCATGTCTACTTGGGCACAAGTCCTATAGCGCTCAAGATGACTTGGTCCCAGGTATTTAGGATTGCAGTCTCAATGCAGAAGAGCACTGCCATCTTCTAACTAGGGCTGGGCCATATCTGGTTTTCATCATCATGATATATCACCAGCTAAGCATCGTGATAGGGGACGTGGGTGGCGCTGTGGGTTAAACCACAGAGCCTAGGACTTGCTGATCAGAAGGTCGGCGGTTCGAATCCTTGTGATGGGGTGAGCTCCTGTTGCTCAGTCCCTGCTCCTGCCAACCTAGCAGTTCGAAATCACATCAAAGTGCAAGTAGATAAATAGGTACCGCTTCGGCGGGAAGGTAAACGCGTTTCCGTGCGCTGCTCTGGTTCGCCAGAAGCGGCTTAGTCATCCTGGCCACATGACCCGGAAGCTTTCTGCGGACAAACGCCGGCTCCCTCGGCCTATAGAGCGAGATGAGCGCCGCAACCCCAGAGTCGGTCACGACTGGACCTAATGGTCAGGGGTCCCTTTACTTTTAAGCATCGTGATATTAGGATGTCTGAAATAAGGATGGAGTTATGTAGAGACATTGGCTGGCTTCACAGTTTTCCCCGGATTGCGAATTTTGCATAGCGCGTGCACGCACGGACACACACAGACACACACACACACACACACACACACACACACACACTCAAAATATTGCCAAGTCAAAAATTATGAAAACAGTATCATGATATGAAATTCAAAATGGCTTTGGACGATATATCAATATATCACCCAGCTCTACTTCTGACTCTGCACTTGCTTTAGCTTCATTGGTTCATGAGAGGGACGCAGGTGGCGTTGTGGTCTAAACCGCTGAGCCTCTTGAGCTTGCCGATCAGATGGTCGGCGGTTCAAATCCCAGTGATGGAGTGAGCTCCCCTTGCTCTGTCCCAGCTCCTGCCAACCTTGCAGTTCGAAAGCACAGGAAGGTAAACAGCGTTTCCATGCGCTCTGGTTTCCATCACAGTGTTCCATTGCGCCAGAAGCGGTTTAGTCATGCTGGCCACATGATCCGGAAAGGTGTCTATGGATGAACGCCAGCTTCCTCAGCCTAAAAGCAAGATGAGTGCCGCAACCCCATAGTCGCCTTTGACTGGACTTAACTGTCCAGGGGTCCTTTACCTTTACCATTGGTTCATGAATTTATGTCTAAGCAGAGATGATGGGGGATTAAACAGGTATCAAGGAGAACATGGCTCTATATCTATTGTAGTTGTACTGCACTCATCCTCCAAGGAATCCTTGGGGACCTCCTTGAGGTTATTCTACAGTATCCATGATTCTTCACACCACATCAAAACGTTCCGTTTAACAGGCATCTTAAAATGTAGTGTTACTTGTTACAGGGATGGGTGAGGATCATTGGGCTCTAGTTGTTGGACTAGAACATCATTTCTGACCATGGGATTCTGGGCCTGGTGGGAGTTGAGTCTAACAACATTTATATCCAGCTCTTGCTCAGAGGAGGCCATCGTTTTCCCTTGCAACAACTTTGAGGTACAGTGTAGTGCCATCCAATGCAGTGAGTCCAACTGTGTTCAGGATAGCAGTCCAAGGCTGCAAGCTTCACTAAACTTAACAGGCCTGCTGTCTTGAGTAAACAAGCGGAATGAAGTGTAAAGCAGAGGTGGGGAAATGCATAGTTTTCCAGATGTAGTTAGACTTCAGCTCCTTCCGCCTCAGCCAGCGTGGCCCATGGCTAGCATCTTGTACACCATGCTAGCTTTAAAAATGCCTGCATGTTGTTGGGAAGAGGACATCGTGATAAATTCTTTGGAACACAAAGGTGACATTTTGTTTGCCTGTGGATTTTTTTGTATGTCCTTCGCAAATCAGTTGTATATTGTAACTGGGGGAATCTTTTGGATGGGCTATTTGGCATAGTAATTGATGGGTAATTTTTCTTCACACATCTTAAAGAAAAAAATTAACTCCTGAAGGTGAGTTTCAGTCCACTGACCCAGACTTCCTTTTGTTTATTCATGAGAAAACTCTCGTGTGGAAAAATCCCCCCTGAAAATCTGCAGCATTGACTGCTTTCCTTTTGTCTCCCTTCACATTTAGGAATGAACAGATTCCAAAGGACTAGTCAGGCGTCGTTTCCCCCTCTTTCTGGACTCAAGTTGAATAGTGTCTGTCAAGCTGTGCTTGTTCTTTTGAGTCTTCCTTCCTGATACTCTCACCCCGAATTTAGTTTAAGTTGCTAACAGTTAACAGTATATTATATTGTTCTGTGTCCTGCTCGGAAGACAGGACATAAAAATAGTGCTTCTAATATTGAGCAGAGAGAGTATCTGCATTTCTTATACCTAGGAAGCCAAACTCAAATATTTCACTCAGACTGTAAAATGATGCAGGTACATGTCATGTGTTTAGACACACACACACAATTCGCTTTATTCTGAACCTGCTCTTTGTGTTTTTGTAAAATTTGGGTTACATTTTTAATTTTGTGAAATACTAATGGGTACTAGGAGGAAGTTTAGCAGGCAGTAACTAGGAGGTACATAGCCAGAAGGAAGTGACTGTAGTTCATGCAGGTGCCTAAATTCCATCCCCGGACATGGGGCCCATTTGCAGCCCTGTGTTTCTGTGGATTCTGACATTTCTGCAGCAGTGAGAACTAGAAGCTTGTTTTTTTCACTTTAAATGAAAACTAGAAGCTTGGGTTTTTCCACTTTAAATGAAAACTCAAAATTCCTTGTCAGATTCTGCCGCAATCGGTGCTCATGGAAGCAGGGATTGCTATCTGCCTTGATATAATCCTCTTTATGAGGTATATAATAGCAGAGGGTCGGGAGCTTTGAGGTGTGTGGAAGGACTTGGGATTGTGTTTGTTAACGAAGGTCTTCCTGTTGTAAACTGGAAGGTCTGTCCCAAACTTGCAATCCCAGCCCTGTACGCAAAAATTTAATTCATGTGAGTATTGAAGGCTGGATGATGATGATTTCCTTTCTATCACACCTTTCCTCAAAGTTGCTCAAGGTGGCCTGCCTCCTCCCCATTTTATCCTCACAACCCTGCAAGGTAGGTCAGCCTGAGACACTGTGGTCTTTTAAGTCCTAGCCCAACACTCTGACCACTACATGCAATCTGGGATTTTGCAGCATGTCGGATTCTGTCATGGAGACTATTTTCCATGACAGGCGATGTCCTTTATGACCCTCTTATAATTGTTAGTTATAAGGAGAGCTAGAGCTTAATTTGTATTTCTTTTTCACTTGTCTTTAGGATTTCCTGAAGAAGTTCTCACCTGATCAGTTTAGGATGTTTTGCTTACGGAGTGGATACAGATCAGGTAAGGAAAGCTCCTTTGAGTAGAGATGGACTATCCATAAAGTCATAATTAGGTGTATGCTTTGTGTGCACATTTATAAGGCATAACTTTTGGGTTGGGGACTTTTTTTTGAGAGTGCTATGATTTTGGGGGTGAGGGGTTTTTTTGTCTGTACTCTTGAACGTCAAATCAATTTTCAGATGTAGCCCTATGTTGGCTGGTGGTAGGAAGAGTGAGGGGGCCGTTAAATCCATTCCCACACCTGAGCCACGTGAGATTAATAGTTTTTAATAGTAGCATAACCATTGTTCTCTGTTTATCTAATAATGCTGATGCTTTGACGGAACAACATAAAGCTGAATTTATTTTCCTAGCTGTTGAATACAGTGATGACAGCATGAATGATGCAAAGAACATTCTTCAGACAATCTGTTCTTTTGTGAGCAGTACACATGCCTACATGAAAGGACAACTTTTGTGTGAAGCCGTTAGAGAAGATCTACTGTGGGAGAGGTGAGTGTGAAGGCCTGTTGTGTTGTGTGTTATTGGCCTGGTATGTGATAAAATCCTGAGAAGTTACCACTTCAGCTGGCACGCAACAAGCGCCTTTATATGCTTTCCCTATAAACAAAGTGAGAAAATAATCCCTGCAAGTAAAAATGACAAGCACATCAGAGAAAGAGGTTTTAACTCATCCTGTTAGGGTTTTTTTTGCTTCCAGAGTACAGTATTGTTTTTTCCTCATGGCTAGGTGTATATTTTGACCCCTTCTATTTTGTAGTTTAGCCTTCCTTGAGTTGTCTTTGCTTTGATTAATTAGCATACCCTGTTCACTTTTTTCTTTTAATAGTTTTAAAGAGAGTCCAGGCACAACGCAAGGCTGTCGCATATCTTTTCTATTGATTGATTATATGGTCATGAATCAAAATCTATTCAGTTGTATTAGTGAAAAGAGCCATATTCTCTGAACACCAGCTTCTGACGCTTCGTAATTTCTTTTCCAATAACACATAAATCTTTCCTATTCCTCAAGAAACAGATTTATAGATCTTCCTTTCCCGAGTTTAATACCGTATATTATCTTCAATAATGCTAATGTCTTCCAAATTTTAATGAATTGGATGCTAGGAATTGCATTTCTACTCTGGCCACTTGCAGTAGCCATGTTTGTGGAGATTAGGAGTATCAACCAAGCTTCGTTCTCAGTTTTGGTGGGATCCAATGATACAGCCACAGGTATGGCTGTCTTTATAGATATATATATAGAGAGAGAGAGAGAGAGAGAGAGTTTTCATTTTTCTACATATCAATTTTTTAAAAAAAATTAAACTTTGAAACATCCAATGACTTCCCTTCTTCTCCTTCCATTGAATTTATTTTAATGCCGCCAGCATTTTGAGCTGTGTACAGTTATTTTCCATATATTCAATAAATATTTTCCACTCTTCTCTAAATATACGTTCTTCTTGCTCTCTTACTCTGTGGGTTAAACCTGCAAGTTCTGCATATTCTAACATCTTAAGTTGCCAGTCCTCTTTACAAGGGACCTCACTCACTTTCCATTTCTGGGCCAGCAAAACACGGGCCGCTGTTGTTGCATACATAAATAAACTTTTCCAGGACCTGGGAATTTGTGTCTGCATTATTCCCAACAAAAAGGACACTAGTTTTTTTGGGAAGGTAAATTTAAACATTTTTTTCAGCTCATTATAATTCAGGCATAGGCAAACTTGGTGCTCCAGATGTTTGAGACTACAGTTCCCATCATCCCTGACCACTGGTCCTGTTAGCTAGGGATGATGGGAGTTGTAGTTCCCAGACTTCTGGAGGGCCGAGTTTCCCTATGCCTGTTATAATTCTTTGCCCATTATTACTGCACTTCACTTTTCTGCATGTCCACCACACATGGAAAAAGGTTCCTTCTACTTTACATTTCCAACACATAGCTGATTCTGCTTTATACATCTTAGCCAACCTACTGGGAGTTAGGTACCATCTATGGATTATTTTTAAATAGTTCTCTTTCAGAGAATAACACGCAGGAAATTTCAGATCACTTTTCCAAAGTTTCTCCCAGAGGTTTAGGTCTATATTGTGTCCAAATCTATTGCCCAGTGCGTCATTGATGCTGTAACTAGCTTGTCATTTGTTTTCCATTCTAATAAGAAATTAGACATTTTAGACAAATGTTTATCCTTATTTTGTAACCATTCTTTTTCAAATTGTGAGCTTTGGTCTGAAAACCCTTTTTTTTAAAAAAAAAATTCTACCTTAAACGTATCATATATCTGGTGGTATTGTAACCAATCCGTAACATGGCTTCTTAACTTCTCCATAGGTTTCAGTCTGGGTTCTGCAAAGATCAGCAATTCCCATTGTCTATCCATATTAATTCTCTAAATTGTAATTGCTCCGATGGGTGATTACCATAAAGGTGTGTTTTTCTTTCCAGCAGATTTTTATATTTCTCCCAGACTCTCTACAAATTCTTCCTGAGAATGTGGTTCATAAAACTCTTACAGATTTTAGCTTCCCCATACCAAAGACATGCATGCTGGCTGAATTCCTAAGAGGAATAATGAGCCCAGTGACTGCGGCTCGACCGCCGGGACGGCCCTCCTAATGGAACTTAGTGGGCCCGTTGGGAGCTTGCTTTGGTCACTGCAGGACCCTGTAATGTCCTGGCCGTCCCCAGGACTTTCTTTGGGGTGCTTGTTGCCTCTGAGCTACCCCAAAACTCACAAAAGCAGCCGCCGGGTTGCTGCGATAGCGGCACCGGCTGCCTTTTCCCCTCGCAGCAAACCGGAAGTCCAGGAATGGCTGTCTTAAAATGACTAGAATGTTAGTGTACCTATAAACCTATACATTCACAAAGATCACCCACATATTAATGCCAACGTTCTCCACTCAAAGAATGCAGTAAAAGCGTAACAATGATTAGCAGAAGGGAGTTTGTTCAAGGGGGCTTCCCCAGTCTTTTCATAGGGCATCCGTTACGTGGCAGAATATTGCCCAGCAAGCCCCTGCCATTGGTTGGTGACAGCTGTAGCCATTCGGATTTTTCTTCCCTGTTGATGCACACTCTTGGTATAGAAATGGCAGATTTCAGGGCCACCACTAGGCGTGATGGCTGCAGAAACGTTTTCAGAACCTTTATCTGTCCTTTTTTAATAATAATAATAAATAATAATAATAATTTTTTTAATTAAGTACAAATTAGAAAACATACATATTTACAACAAAAGGAAATACAAAAGGAAAAGAAAATACATATAACCAGGAAAAGAAATTAGAGAATACTTTGTCTCTTTTCATATTTCCAGTTATTTATACCTCTATAAAATGCTATTCACAATAAAGGAGTGAAATGAAAGATAAGATATCAGAAAAAAGAAAAAAAGAACAAAGAAAAAATAACGAAGTAAAAGAAAAAGATCATAGGTGAAATTTTTTAAAAGTAGATAAGTATTCACGACACATAGCCGTTTCCCATCTATATTTATATTCAATTGTATAATTTCATCCTGTCCTTATCTACCTTAAATAAAGTTTTTTTTTTTTTAAGACTTCCACTGTTTGCCTCACACGTTTTTAATAATCCGTTCGTCAGATCCTCTGTTCTTCATATTTTCCCTTTGGATTTCCTTAATGTCTCACTTTGTATTTTTTATATTATGCACAAGATTATTCTAAACACTACCAGATTTTTGTAGTCAAGCCCTGGTTTTGTAAATAATCATTTAAGTACTCCCATTGCTTCATAACCATAGTTTTGGATTTTCTCCTTATTATATCCGTCAGTTTTGCTAGTTCCAGAACCTTTATCTGTCCTAAACGCAGGTACAGTGTGCCTGGAAGATGGGCTGCAGAGAGGTAACAGGCAGCAGGAAGTCTTGTAATCTCCCATTCATTTGTCCCTTTTGTTACAGTGGTGCCCCGCAAGACGAATGCCTCGCAAGACGAAAAACCCGCTAGACGAAAGGGTTTTCTGTTTTTTGATGCGCTTCGCAAGACGATTTTCCCTATGGGCTTGCTTCGCAAGACGGAAACGTCTTGCTAGTCTTGCGATTTTTTTCGCTCCCACCCCCTTTTTCTAAGCCGCTAAGCCGCTAATAGCCTTTTAGCCGCTAAACCGCTAAGCCTTTAATAGCCGCTAAGCCGCTAATAGCCTTTTAGCCGCTAAGCCTTTAATAGCCGCTAAACCGCTAATAGCCTTTTAGCCGCTAAGCCTTTAATAGCCGCTAAACCGCTAATAGCGCTAAGCCGCTAATAGGGTTGCTTCGCAAGACGAAAAAACCGCTAGACGAAGAGACTCGCGGAACGGATTATTTTCGTCTTGTGAGGCACCACTGTATAAGATATGTATCCGTCCTCCTTTAATAGTGATTTACCAAATGCCACTTGATCCAGCTTGTGTGAAGCACTTTTGCTCCCCATGGAAAAGTTAGAGCAGGAACTTAGCTGCCTCCTGATTAAATTGTTGGTCAAACTACTTAACCTGGGATACGTCCTGCTAAAAGTGCATTTTAACTAGCCGGTCGGTTTATGTCTGGGGCTTTTCTAAAAAACAACAACACTTCCGTTGTCTTAATTTCCCCCCCTCCTTCTCCAAGGCTAGCCAACACCAAAGCAGCGGTGAAGTCTGCGTGTGCCGATGACTTTGACACCCCCAGGGCTATTGGTGCAATTATGGACCTCATTCACCATGGCAACAGGCAGCTGAAGGCCGTCACTAAGGTAACCTGTTAAGAGACGAAGATCAGAAACCGACCATTGTCTAAACAGTTCTGTGCTGACGGGTTGGTTTTATCATTTTCCTGGGCGAAACTTGCAAGGAAAAATAAAGACAAATGATTCCCTCCCCCACTCTCTGCCACATCCCAAGACAGGCATTTATACAAACTGCATTTCTAGGATCAGAAACCTCTTTTGCTGTGTTTCAGAGCACCAAAAGTTTTATTTCCTTCTTGCTACTTGGTATTCTTAGGCAGCTGAAGAACTTTTACACGAGCCTTTTTTCTTCACTAATCACACCGTTTAGTTATGTATTTACACTTGTAGCTTGGTTTTCGAACAGCTTAGTTCCCGAACGTTTTGGCCCTTGAACGTTGCAAACCTGTTTTGCTTTGTGAACTATTTTTGGAAGCCAAACATCTGACGGGGCTTCCGTGTCTTCCGATTGGCTGCAGGACCTTCCTGCAGCCAATCAGAAGCCATGATTTGGTTTTTGAACATTTTGGAAGTTGAACGGACTTCCGGAACGGATTCCGTTTGACTTCCAGGGTACGACTGTATTTATATGAGAGAGAGAGAGCGCGCGCGACACGGAGGAGTACCCAGGTGATCTTTCGTAGAAACTTTTGTTTTCCTGAGCTTATTCTGTTCTTTCCCCTTTTCTTGCCCAAATGTTGGCTTGTTGCGAATTTAAAAGAAAAATAGCTTCCAGCACAGTTGTAGTGGTAGAGATTTTCAGGTGTGAACTGACTGGCACCAGAGCTTTTTTCCACCTGGAACTTGCCGGAACTCATTTCTGGCACCTCTCAGGTGGGCGCCATTTCCATTATAAGAGAACAAGGCAGGTATTCATGGTGAGTCCCGGCACCTCTTTTTCTAGAAAAAGAGCACTGGTGGCAGCGTGACGGACATAGCATCCAGGTGGAGCAGAGTGATCCTGAACTTGGAAGTCAGAGTTGTCCCCACCCCCAGGGGTACGACTTGCTCCTGTTGGTCACTAGTGGTGGGCTTCGCTGCAGGAGAACCAGGAGGAGTCTGGCTCCAAGCCACCATAGACAGCTCTTCCCTGTTGGTTTGCTTACAGACAGAGCAACACGTTGCTAATATATGGGGGCAAGGTGATGATGCACAGTGAGCGCTGTTAGTATGGTGCTTGGATTATATTTACCCCCAAAAAAAGTTTTCCTCCAGAATGGCGTGTAATTGCCACAGAGGCTGTAGGAAGATTTACGTATTGTGTTGGGAAGGCAAACTTGAACAGGCAGAAGTTCTGCCCTGCTTGTGTAGAGCACTTTGGGGCCTAATCGTGGAAGAAATTACGAGCAAATGTTTTTTGGTCTGTCCACTTTTAAGCCTATCTTCATGCCCATTAATGTCTAGAATTGGTGAGTTAGTTATTAAATGGCACCAGATATTCAGGGAGTGTTGAATATTCTGCCCAAGGCAAAATGTTGAAGAGTGTGTGTGTGTGTGTGTGTGTGTGTGTGTTTTGGGAGAAACTGCCTGCTTTCTATTTGCTTGGTACCCTTCTCATTTTGAGTCTAATTGGTAACGTTCTAAATGGCCACTACTTCTGGAGCACTGAACTCTTTACAGTGTTACCTTGGGTTACAGCTGCTTCAGGTTACAGACTCCGCTAACCCAGAAATACTACCTCGGGTTAAGAACTTTGCTTCAAGATGAGAACAGAAATCGTGCAGCGGTGGCACAGCGGCAGCAGGAGGCCCCATTAGCTAAAGTGGTGCTTCAGGTTAAGAACAGTTTCAGGTTAAGAACGGACCTCCAGAACGAATTAAGTACATAACCTGAGGTACCACTGTAGTTCCATGCTTACTGTTTTTAAAGTGCCTTTTCTGTAAGCCACTTTAGTGAGCCATCTGATTGCATTAGTAAAGTTTTATCTACGTACAGCACACAAACACACACACTGTTAACTGTTAACAAAAGAACACAGTGTTTTGGTTTTTTTAAAAAAGTATTGAATCTTGGCAGTATAGATTCTAGCTCAGTGAATATCTGCATGCAATCCATCATCTGCGACATTATTATTATTTCCTAATGTTTTGTCCCTTGTTAAATTGATTTCTTGGAATTATGATCTTCACTAAGGTGAAGTTGCTTCCCTCCAAATCTTGACTTGCCCGAGATCTGTTATGTAACCAAGGCTGTATCGTAAAACACTCTACAGATATTTTATCCTCCCCACTCACCACACAAGCATTTAAAATACAAAAATCCTTCACTATGGTTAGCCAGGCTTTGCAATGAGAAAAGCTGGCCTCAGTAACCTGTATAAATTGTGCAAATGTGTACAAACTAGTGTTTTGACTGCTCAAGACGATGGACGAGTAAAGCTGGGAAGCCCTGTTTGTCTGCTGAACGAAATAGGAGTCTTCAAATGCTCTTGAATTTCTGTGGTTTCAATAGGTATGGCTTTCACACTGTTTTGTGCATGGCCTTTGCGACAGTAAAAGCTGGAAATATGTGTGGAGCACTTAAATGGAGAGCTGAGATTGGCAAAGCTAGATGTTGAACCCAGTGTTAGTGCTATTGCACAGAACTGCAGAATCAAAATAATAATAATAATAATAATTTTTTATTTATACCCTGCCCTCCCCAGCCAGAGCTGGGCTCAGGGCGGCTAACACCAGTAAAATTACAATAAAAACATAATGGGGACACACACACACACACACACACACACACACACACACACACACAACCCCCCCCCCCAATTTATTAAAATACGGATTAAAATACAATTTAAAATGCAGCCTCATTTTAATGGCAGCCCATAGATCAAAACCATAAGGGGAGGGAAACATAAGGGTCAGACTGAGTCCAAACCAAAGGCCAGGCGGAACAGCTCTGTCTTGCAGGCCCTGCGGAAAGATGTCAAGTCCCGCAGGGCCCTAGTCTCTTGTGACAGAGCGTTCCACCAAGTCGGGGCCAGTACTGAAAAGGCCCTGGCCCTAGTTGTGACCAATCTAAGCACCTTTCGACTTGGGACCTCCAAAATGTTGTGATTTGTGGACCTTAAGGTCCTCCGCGGGGCATACCAGGAGAGGTGGCCCCGTAGGAATGAGGGTCCTAGGCCACATAGGGCTTTAAAGGTCAAAACCAGCACCTTAAACCTGACCCTGTACTCCACCGGGAGCCAGTGCAGTTGGTAAAGCACTGGATGAATGTGATCCCGTGGCAAGGACCCTGTAAGGAGCCTCACTGCAGCATTCTGCACCCGCTGGACTTTCTGGGTCAGCTTCCAGGGCAGCCCCGCATAGAGCGAGTTACAATAATCAAGGTGACTGTCGCATGGATCACTGTGGCCAGATCAGGGCGAGAAAGGTAAAGGACCAACTGCTTGATATGGCGGAGATGGAAAAATAATATGGTGGTGGAAAACATTTTTTGGGACAGGTCAAAAGCTACGTTCCCTTAAGGATAGTCAGTTAGAGGAGCAAAGGTCAGTGATGAGGGACACAATTCTTTTCTGTCTTCTCACTTGTTTTCTCGCCGTCCAGTGTGCCAGACAAGAGAAAGAACGGATCACTCTTGCTAAATCTCTGCACTGATCACTTGCAAGGGGATTTCTCCCTTGGTTCTTTCATGTGCTGGCTTCCCTCACCCCCACATTTATCCCTCTGGGCTCCCCATGCCTCCACTGCAGAATAATGGAACGCAGTCAGTCCTGTTTATAATATACACACACGCACAGTCTGATAATGTAGCTTTCTTTGTTAATGACAACCATGACCTCATAATTTGGCAAAAGATGTAGATGTAAAATACTGGATGGAATCATAGAATTGTACAGTTGGAAGGAGCTATCAGAGTCCCGGTATGCCCCATGGAGAGCCTTAAGGTCCATAAATAGCAACACCCTAGTGGTCCCGGGCCCTAAGGAAGTTAGATTGGCTTCAACCAGAGCCAGGGCCTTTTCAACACTGGCTCCGGCCTGGTGGAACGCTCTGCCTCATGAGACCAGGGCCCTGCAGGATCTGATTTCTTTCCACAGGGCCTGTAAGACAGAGTTGTTCCGCCTGGCCTTTGGCTTGGAGCCAATTTGATTCCCTCCTCCTCTTTCTTTTTTCCTTTCCTTCTCCTGCGATGAGGCTACATTTTAATATTTTAATGTTTCATTCTTTTAATGTTGTATTTTAATGTTGTTTTTAAGTTGTAATCATTCAACTTGTTTTTATTATTGCTTGTAAGCCGCTCTGAGCCCGGCCTTGGCTGGGGAGGGTGGGGTATAAATAAAAAAAAATATTATTATTATTATTATTATTTAGTCCAACCTGCTACAATGCAGGAATTTTTCTCCTAACTTGGACCTTGAACCCACAACCCTGAGATTGAGAGTCTCATGCTCAACTGCCTGAGCTTATCCTATCAGTTTATCCAAGAAGCCTTGGAAGGTATTTATTTCTGAGCTTTTCCTAGATAATGTACATTAAAAAAATCTTGTAGCAAGAGTTGCAGGAGGGAGAGTGGCTTCAAGGAAATGCCTTGCTGTCCCGAACTTTGCCCCTAGGCCTTACAAGTGCGGCCCGGCTTACATACCAGCGGCATTTTGTTTTCCTAAAATATTCTTCTTCTGCTCTATGGCTAGTTGCTGCGGTTAAGAAGTCTTCGCTCTTGGAAAGGAGGAGGTTTAGGCAATCTAGCAGATAAATGGATTCCCGCAGAGTATTGTTCGCTTTCATCTTTTGTCCGTGTGCGGAGAGATGTTATCGTTACATCAGCTCTTTTGTGTGTTTTGAAATCAGGAAAGTGGATCGCCTACGAGCGCTGTTGTGTTTGGAGCAATTCTCTCCTACATCATGGAATTCCTTCACACAACTGGGATCACCCTTGCGGAAAGACAGGTAGGAAAGCACCCCACTTACCTGAGAGTAAGCCCCATCCAATTCAAGAGGACTCCGAGGAGCTGTAGTTAGGTGTTGTAGGGTCACAAAACCAGGCTTCCAACAAACTGCGTGCCTGGTCCCTTGTCCTTCCAAAAAAACATGTTTCCAGGTGATTCCATCTTTATGTACATACTAACACATGGCAGTCCCTAGGTGATTTAGAGTCAAGTTTGTAGTTGTTTTTAACTTCTTCTTTTTTAATCAAAATTAAAATTGTCCTCCTACTATCTGGATTGATACAGTTCCAAAGCACCGTGTTAGTCTTTGGCTTAGAAACCAAAAATAAGGCTGAAAATGAGAAACACTAAATAGGATGTATTTTCCTTTTCTGAAATTCCTGATAACGATCTCTTAATGTATTCATTTTAGTTGTGATGTAAGAGTGTTTACGAGCACCTGGTGTCCATTTGGTTTTAGTTACTGCAATGTGATTGTGCTTTGTTTTACTTTACTTTACTTGGCTATGTGTATTGTTTTTTTGGAGCGGGAAGTAAAAACATTTATTTAAATAAAATCAAACCATTAAAAACATTCATTTAAATAAAATCATCACTACCTATCAGGACCAGTGGTCAGGGATTATGGGAATTATAGTCAGAGAACAGCAGGAAACCAAAGTTGGGGAAACCCTGGTTTATGGGGTGAAATACACACCCGTATAGGGATGCGGGTGGCGCTGTGGGTTAAACCACTGAGCCTAGGACTTGCCGATCAGAAGGTCGACGGTTCGAATCCCCGTGACGGGGTGAGCTCCCGTTGCTCTGTCCCTGTTACTGCCAACCTAGCAGTTCGAAAGCACGTCAAAGTGCAAGTAGATAAATAGGTACCGCTCTGGCGGGAAGGTAAACGGCATTTCCGTGCACTGCTCTGGTTCACCAGAAAGCGGCTTAGTCATGCTGGCCACATGACCCGGAAGCTGTACGCTGGCTCCCTCAGCCAATAAAGCGAGGTGAGCGCTACAACCCCAGAGTCAGTCACGACTGGACCTAACGGTCAGGGGTCCCTTTACCCTTACACACCCGTACAAATCACCTGTCATCCTGTCTTAGATGAAAGTTCTGCACTAGGTGCTTTCCTTGTAGGATTTTTTGTTACATTTGAAGAGGGCCTTCACTGTTTTGTTTTACTTTTTAACAAGAGATATATACCCCTTGGGGACGCGGGTGGCGCTGTGGGTAAAACCTCAGTGCCTAGGACTTGCCGATCGTATGGTCGGCGGTTCAAATCCCCGCGGCAGGGTGAGCTCCCGTCGTTCGGTCCCAGCTCCTGCCAACCTAGCAGTTCGAAAACACCCCCGGGTGCAAGTAGATAAATAGGTACCGCTTTATAGCGGGAAGGTAACGGCGTTTCCGTGCGCTGCACTGCTGCTGGCTCGCCAGAGCAGCTTCGTCACACTGGCCACGTGACCCGGAAGTGTCTCCGGACAGCGCTGGCTCCCGGCCTCTTAAGCGAGATGAGCACGCAACCCCAGAGTCGGTCACGACTGGCCCGTACGGGCAGGGGTACCTTTACCTTTATATACCCCTTAATCGAGAATATTATTATTTGTTTAGAAATGGCAATCAAAACAGGCATAATACAGCCCATTTTGCATCTTACTTAAAAACTTATTTTTAATGTATGCAGTTAAATTACATGTCTGGGTACTCCTGGTGCCGTTCTGGACATGCCGCACATAGCTGGCTTCCTGTGTAAGTGTGTTGCATGTCGGGATTGAATTCGGGTTTTTGATTTACAGGTAGCTCCAGAAAACGAACATTCAGCCATGCTCTCCAACGTGATAGATGAACTGGTGAGCTTCCGAACCAAAGTGCGCAGTTTTGCCCTTGCGGCACCTGAGGCTGCGGGGGGCGTGTCCGCAGATGGCGCCCCTCTGTCGAAAGAAGCCCGGCTGCAAAAGAAAACCGAAAGGCAGCAACTGTTGAAGGACCGAGCGCCCCTCTTGCAAGCCTGTGACAGCCTGCGTCGAGATCTAGCCATATACGGCATCGACATAAAGGTTCGCCTCTTTCTCTGCCCAAATCCTCCTGGCTGAACCTTTCTGACACATCTCCTCTGTGGGTTGTTTTAGGAATAGGGATTTATTGTGATCTTTTCTCCCTCCTTCCCACTCCCCCCGGAACAGGCAGCTTTCCCCCTCGCACCCTAAATGGTTAAAATACAGTAGGAGCAACAGTAGATTGGTCGTCACGTTTGGCTGAAGCCAGCAAGTCCTTATTACTGCCCTGTGTAGCTGCCTTTGCAGTTCTCAGTGGAAACAACTGTTGAGCGTTGAAGAGCCCCTTTTGTGTTAAAGAGCCCTTGGGAAAATTTTAAAATATTCAAGCACTCCTGTAGTTGCATTGTGAAGGCAGAGGAGTGGTGCTGGCTTTGGGAAAAAGTGCTCCACAAAGTTTACTTGCCCCATAGGTACTAGCTGTGTGCCATGCAAGGGGTATGTTGGGGGTGGGGGTTTGTAGATTTTAGAAGAGCGAATAAATGTGCAAAAGTGCTCTGTTCTTATGCATACTATTTGGATCTGAGAAGCCCTTTTTATTATGAGTAAGTTGGGTTTCTGCGAGGCAGCTGTGATGATGGCAAAAGCAACCTGGGTTGCAATCCAGCGAAAGCAGACTGGGGGCCAAAAGTCCCGTTGAAAACTTTGTGTACTTGGTCCTATCTTATGTGTGGACTTGCTCATGCCGTGCTGAGGGTACAAACCAGGCGTAAAACAGGAAGAGGATTGTTGTAGCAAGGTCCTCCTGGTTTCACAACCGAGGAGGAGGACCAAAAAACCGAATGCTGGTTTAGGTTTATTCCTGTTAGTCAGTGCTGTGGCAGCAGGTGTCTCTTATCACCACTGCCTCAGAAAAGCTCAAGCCATTTCAGTAAAATAATCTTGGTCCTGTATAACTGAAGGAGCGTCTCCACCCCCATTGTTCAGCCTGGACACTGAGATCCAGCACGAGGGCCTTCTGGCGGTTCCCTCACTGTGAAAAGTGAAGGTACAAGGAATCAGGCAGAGGGCCTTCTTGGTAGGTGCACCCTCCCTGTGGAACGCCCTCCCATTAGAAGTCAAGGAGCTGAGTAACTATATAACCTTTAACAGACATCTGAAAACAGCTCTGTATAGGGAAGCTTTTTAAGGTTTAATGTTTTGTTATGTTTTTATATAGGTTGGAAGCTGCCCAGAGTGACTGGGGCCACCCAGTCAGATGGGCAGGGTACTACTACTACTACTACTACTACTACTACTACTACTACTACTAACTGCTAGCAAGGCAACATTCTGCTGATTTATGGCACAATCCTATATATTATTACTCATGGGTAAGTCCCATTGTGTTCACTGGGACTTACTCCCAGGAAAGTGTACATAGGATTGCAGCCGTCATCAGGGAAGCATCTTAGAAACATGAATTGTGACTGCTATTCCATTATCACAGATGAAGTGAGCCTGTGAAAAGATGGCGGTGAGCCTAGAGCAGGGTGAGGGGACCTGTGGCTCTGCAGATGTTTGCTGGACTGCAGCTCCCATCACCCCGACCCATTTGCCATGGTGGTTGGGGTTAGAACATCTGGAAGGCCCACAGGTTCTCTCCCATTGGTCTAGGGCAGAGCTTTCAAAACTTATCATGTTGGTGACACGCTTTTTAGACGTGCATCATTTCATGACACAGTAATTCAGTTTTGCATCATTTTGTGACACAGTAATTCAGTTCTACTAACAAACCAGAGGTTAAACTAACCCCTTTCCAGTCCCAGGAGGAGCATGGGGAGCGTTTGTGCGACACACCTGCACACTGCAGCCAACACACTAATGTGTTGCAACACAGTTTTGAATGCTCTGGTCTAGGGTAAGCCAGTATGCCCACATTTGAAGCCAGAGTTACAGTCCTGTGGGGCCTACTTTGGAAGTCAGGCCTATTGAACAATACAGCATTACTTCGCAGCATGAAAAGGACTGAGTAGAGGCTTTTCCAATTCATATTTGAGTTCTAGAAGTGGTTTGTGTTAAAGGAAATGTGAGTGTTTAACACACACTCCTTTTTTTGTATTTATGCAGGACAGAAGTACTACTTCTACATGGGAACTTGGAGAGCCCAGTAAAGAACAGGAAAAGAGCTGATAAAAATAAGAAGTACAGACTGAGTGACTTAATACTGTGGCGATTTAATGGATTTTGAAATACCCTAGCTGAGAGAATCCTCGTCCTTCAATTACTGGGTGGCAGAAATAATTCTTAAAACTGTCTACTTCAAATTTAAAAGCAAGAAGCTTCGCCTGTTTTCTGAAAAGATTGGTGTGGTGTGGTGTGGTGGGGAGGAACAATTGCAAATCTGTCATTTATTACAGCAGCTCTCCTGTATTCTCACTTATGGAATCCTTTGACTCTACTTCAGCACCTCAAGAGTTTAAACACTGCTTCAACTGCGCCATCTAGAAAATAGAATTAAGTGAAAATACCATTGTCTGCTGTAGCGGCACAAGAGGTGAGTTGGCTTAAATTTGCTTTTAGCAATAAGTAGTTGGTATCCCTTGGCACAGGGAGATAGAAGGTCTCTGCCTCAAAAACAGCACAGCCTTCGAGAATAACTTAAAAGCTTAAAGGCACTAGGATTTAGATCAAAAACTCCAGGGTTCGGAGGGTGTTTTGTTAGCAAGATGCTGAATCATACATAAACCCTTTTCTATTGTAAGAACTACAGTTTGATGTTGCAGTTAAATGCTAATCCATGCTACAGTTTTTCTATATATCCACTTTCTTCCACATTGGTGGAAAGTGTTCCAGACTAGATTCAGTCTTGTTTCAAAGTAGCTGGCACCAAACAAGCCTGTTTATGAATTACGGATGAGGCAGAGAGCAATCTCTGCAGAATTCATATCTCCAGAAGTACCTAGAAGGTCAGCAACATGGAAGGGTTCCTTATTCCAAGTCAAAGCATTGGCTTATATAGCTCAGTAGAGTTAGCATGTGTCCTATTGATCTACAGCCTCCTGCTAACCAGCCTTTACTTGAAACATCAGTGGCAGATATTTTTCACCGCATCAAAGCATTGTTCAGAAGTAGAAGGCTTCTTTTTAGCAATGCCGGTTAACAAAATGCCATTTCGCTGATTTTTTGGGGAGCTGGACTTTGTTCGAATGAAGATTTACAGATACAGACTTGGATCTAATTTCAGGCCAGAAACACACATCAGTCTTTGTTGGTAAATAATATATAAAATACTAATCCAGAACAACTTGCAGTAAAATATCTCTTTTCTGCTGGGTTTCTCTTAAACATTCAGCATGGCCTTTTATTTATTGTACCAGCTGTTCAGATGAGAAGGGATTGACGAAGACCAGGGCATTTAAGGTAGCGGAGATGTGGATTCAGAAACAAGCTTTTTTGCATGCCCTCTACTGAGATGAGGTGTGGCCTCCATGCATTTCAGCAAAACTGTAGGGACTATGCTGGCTGACCTGTAAATCTTTAAACAGATGGCAGGGACTGGTGCCATCTTTAGAAGGCAGTTTCTAATTCCAGGTTTCATGCAAGAGTGTATCAAGAGTTTCTAAATATCGGTGCACAAGAACACTTGGACATTAGAAGGGAAACAGGACCTGGGGAGTTAATGCAAAGCAGCGCTGGAACATAAAAGAAAAGGCACTTGCTTCTCTACTTGAGGTAACTTACAAACTATACAAGTCTCCTACTTTTCTTCCAAATACAGTGGTGCCTCGCAAGACGAAATTAATTCGTTCCGCAAGTTTTTTCTTCTTGCGAGTTTTTCTTCTTGCGAAGCACGGTTTCCCATAGGAATGCATTGAAAATCAATCAATGCGTTCCTATGGAGACCGTCCGGGGACAGAGGGGAAGCGCCGCGCGCCTGTTTTAAAGTAAGGGGCAGCGGGGAGAAGATTGCTTCTCCCCGTTGCCTGCCCCGCAATCTCCGGGGACAGAGGGGAAGGCGCGCGCGCCTTCCCCTCTGTCCCCGGACCTGTTTTAAAGCAAGGGAAGGGGCAGCGGGGAGAATCGCTTCTCCCCGTTGCCGCCCCTTGGTTCGAAAGGGGTCCGGGGACAGCGGGGAAGACACACTGCGCTTCCCCGCTATCCCCGGAGCTTGCGGGGCAAGCTTCGTTTTGCGAAGCAAGCCCATAGGGAAATGCGTCTTGCGAAGCGGCTAAGAAAACGAAAAACTCCTTTGTCTAGCGAGTTTTTCATATTCCGAGGCGTTCGTCTTGCGGGGTACCACTGTATAAGCTCCAGGCAGGGCCTTGGAATTTGGAAACCAGCCATTTTATACTAGCCTGTTGTGAACCCCAACAATATGAAATGCATTTTCGAAACTGATATCTGTATGTAAATGATGTATTAATAACTACTAGGGTCTGGTTTATTTCATGCCTCTATTATAATCTAAGGCAATTTTCTCTGTTCCTCACCCCACAAGCATTATTCAAAGCTTGGCTATTAAATATTTTTATTTTATGATATAAGATGTATGGATTTTAGCTAGTAATGCAAAAATGTTAATAAAAAGTGGAGAAAAAGACCTAACACCCCCCCCCCAAGAAGAAAGCATCCTGTAGCGTCTACTAGTTAAAATGTAAATGAAATCACTGAAACTGTGTCCAGAGAGTTTGGAAGAACTGCAGTATGATAGTAATGTTTCTTCAGTGTCGCCATATTATTTAAGATTGCAGTCCTGGGCACGCAGACCTGAGATTAGACTCCATTGAACTCTGCTGGACTTAAGCGAACTGCAGCGGAAATGCAGTTTGCATTTCAAAATGTACTATTAACAAAGGCTCTTGTGCCAGCTGAAATGCAACCTTTGCTTTTTTTATACCAATGCCATTTCAAAACACTTGATCTAAGATTTAGGCTGCCAGTTTAGAGCTGGGAGTGGAAGACATCCCTGTGCTGCTTTATTCTTTACCTGCAAGCCAGTCAGTCTTTTGCGGCTGATCAAACACACTCACTTTGCAGATTAGGAACCTGAACTTGTGACTAGAAAAATGAAACCTCGTCTGCTTTAGCTTAGAATGTGTTGGTTCTGTCTAACAAAGATAAGCTCCCCTTCCCAAACATTCCTTGAGAGTGACTGGCTCAGGGTCCTGCACCTGCACAATTTTGAGGATTTGTGCTAATGATCTAAGCCACCCTTTCAACAATGGTGCCCCTCTAGATGTTTTGTCCTCCCCAACCTTTGGCTGTGGCCAGTGAAAATAACTAGTCCAAAACATCAGGCGGACATCAGAGAAGACCCTGGTAAACAATACAGTGGTACTTCAGGTTAAGAACTTAATTTGTTCCAGAGGTCCGTTCTTAACCTGAAACTGTTCTTAACCTGAAGCACCACTTTAGGTAATGGGGCCTCCCGCCGTGCCGCCGGAGCACGATTTCTGTTCTCATCCTGAAGCAAAGTTCTTAACCCGAGGTAATATTTCTGGGTTAGCGGAGTCTGTAACCTGAAGCGTATGTAACCCGAGGTACCTGTGTAGTTGCAGGTTTGCCTTATGTTCATCTGTGGAGGGAAGGGATCGTTATCAGAGCTGGGAGGTTATAATATTCACGGTATGTGCATTGGCGGATTCCTGCCACAAAAAATGTTAGGTGTTCAAGCTACTGGTATTCATATTTCATTTCAACAGCATCAGAGAGAAAAAACCTTGAACTTAAAATAAGACCTGCAGCTAAGAATGTGTAATACAGTAAGGGAGACAGGGACTTGCCCTTATCACCCCTGCCTTTCATGAACGCTTAAGGCATTGACTGGAGAAATGTCCTCTTACAACTTAGAAGGATCTGCAGCTGGTTGCCTTCATTTTTGTCCTCCTGGAGAGATGGAAATAAATCTACATCCTTCAACCTGACAGTGCTATGTGCAGTATAATAAGCTGTTCAACAAAATATTATTCCAGATTACTGAACAAGAACCCTCACATGTCCCCTTTGTCAGTGGAAAGATTGGCACTCGTTGGCTTTAAATCTGCCAGGTTAGGAATACAAATTGAACAAAATGGATAAGCCACAGTTTGTCGGCACATTGCAGCTCCGTTATAAAAAGCTGCTGAATAAATACACGTAGCAGTTGTTTAAGCTGTCGTTTTTATTTCATCAAGAAATCAACTGCTACATCTTCAGATTGCTTCAATTGTAAAATCTTTATACACTAGTGGACAACATTATTTGCAACTTCTGTAATACAATTTAAAAAAACAACAAGCAATTCAACTCGATAGTGACTGTTCCGATCAGTTTGAAAATCCTAGGTCCTATTTGGCTTCCCTGCAAATAATAGCTTTGAAAATTCTGCTGCCTATTTTGTTCAGCATTTGTATCTGAGTTCTAAAGGATGGTAGCTATTTGATAGTGTGTTCTGGAAAATGGATATAGGTTAGTTCAGTTGACAACACCAATGGTTAATGTCTCCCTCACTGCACCAAGACAATGGCTGTGATTTAAACTATTGGGCATATGAGTCACTTGCCCCACGAGTGCAGGGCGCACATGTGGAAGATCCCAAAAGGGTTCAGAGCTTTGGTCATGCTGACTCCTACCCACTGCCTATAGCAGAGGTGTGAAACCTGTGGCCCACGGTGGCTGAACTACAGCTTCCAGCAAGCATGGCCAAGGATGATGGGAATTGCAGTTCAGCAACATCAAGAGCACCACAGGTTCCCCACGCCTGCCCTGTAGGACAGGGACATTTGCAAGTAGTACAGTAGTACAGTCTAGTTTCAACTCTCCTGTCCCCATCTTGCAAGCACAAGAAAATCAGGATGGATAATTTAACACAAACGAGCCTATTTGAATTAATGTATTTAATTTGGAAATTTTACTGTTCCCCAAGACTCAGGGTAATGTTTAAATCTGAATAGAAGCAGGTTTGCCTTGCAGCTGAATCAGTACCTCTAGCAGATGCATGAAGCCAAAGGAGGCTTTTCTAGGTAACTCCAGTGAGGAACCAATTCAACCATTATTTACATTCTCAAGCACAGGCATTTTGCCTTCACCCAATGAAAGCAAACTACTCTGGGTCTGCCAGTTACTATCGGACCAAGTTTTTAATTTAATCATTCATTGACCCTTGTTTGCTACTTTGCTTTTGAGAGGGTGGGGGATGAGCCAAGGCACAGTGAAGCGGAAATGACTAGTGCCAGAAAGTCCAGGAGTGGTGACCTTAGGGCTGAGCAAACAAGGCACCCACCCAGGGCTCCAAAATATCGGAACAAAATGCTGCCTGCCTCCTTTATAGTCTGTCTCAGCCTGCCTTGTCTTTATCCCAGCAGCATTGCAAATAGGCGTTGTGAAACCTGCATCCTTGCATTGCAAGGCAAGGAGAACAGGGTGCTAGAGCCATATTGGGATCTTCCAAGTGCTAGGTTCTATAGTGTAGGATTCAGCCCAGTACAAGTGAATCATGCCTTGATAATACATTTTGCTTAAACCTTTTCTTAGAGCCAATTTCAATAGAAAGAAAAAGTACATCATACTAGCCACGGTCTACATAATCGGAAGCAAAGGGAAAGCATACACACTTTTCCTGGTTTTGAAAACGTGAGACGCTATCCCCAACTTGTGCTCTGAAGCGGTATGGACCGAACAAAGTCTTTAAAAAGTTTGAATTGGTGCTCTGAACTTTGCTAGAACTAAATAGTGGAAAAAAATATATATTAAAAAAACAAAAAAAGGAAACAAATGTATTTTTCTGAGGTAGTAGTCACAGTGCATCCAAATGTTAGTTATAAGCACGTTGCATTTATACAGAGCAATATCCTGGTTGCAGGTAGACAGTGTATGCTAAGCAACGACTACTCTATAATGTAGCAAACCCTAACAGCAGTCTGTCCCTACACAAATGGGAATGCTAGTTAAACAGCTAGATGAACTCTGGCTGCAGATTTCCATATACTTACTTTGGAGTAAGTCCCAATGAATTTGGTGGGGCTTACTTCCGAGTAAATATGCAATGCCATCAGGCGGCAAGCGATTCAAGTAAAAACAAAGGGTATTCTGCCATAATCTTTCCTTCTTAAAACCATTACGGGGTGGGATTTCTAGAGTGGAAATGCTCCGTGCATAGATCCTACCAAAACGTGAGTTTGCATCTAGTAAACCAGCATATCTAAGCAGGATACACATAGAGCAGCTGACACACATCCTCTGGAATACTTGTGCCCCATCTCTATTACAAAGAAGCTCAACATTATGGTAGGGATAACTCGCTACTGTGAACAACCTAGTCTCTACCCTGTAGTCTGCCAGTTCATTAATGCTGTGCAGTTTTAAAAGGGCAGCCCTTCCCCTTTCATTCTTCAATTACTACATGCTGGTGATTCTTCTAAGTGTGTCCACACATTAGTGTTCCACTGCAGCTTTTAAAAGTTAAAACAAAAGCACGAAGGGCGCTTTCTACTGAAAACCATTGCCGTGCAGGTCTTATGGCAGGAGCTGCTCCTTGATTAGTTGTTTCCCTAAAGCCTTCCCCTTTTTAACCCTCCCAAAAATGTTCCATCACAGGTTTAATCTGGTTTCTCTGCAAATATTTTATGATCTAAACTAGCCCAGCTCAGTAGGTGCAACTTCAATACATTCAGCTAAATAAATTCTATTTTTCACATGCCATGTTCTACAGCTTCTTTGTCCCTGTTTGTTGTTTTTTTTAAAAAAAGACTAGTGATACCCACCCCTCCCTCATCAAAAAAGCAAGGAACGAAAAACAGTGCCCCTGTACCTAGGACTCGAGGCGAATTTCATGCAGTCCCTCCTTGAAGATGGCATGTCTCAAAAGCAGCACAGACTTGTGCAAAATTGAAATCCTGCAGTAGTTCTCAGGCTAAAACAGTGATGAAGTTGGTGCAAACCAAGGAAGTAAGTTAAGCTGGTGGAAGAATATTATGACACAATCCAGCCAAAGTTAAGTGTTTTCAAATCCTATTTATTTCCGTGGGAGACAGAATTGTCTACTTCTTCCACTGAAACGGAGATTTGAGCTGCAATCTCAAATGCACTTACTAGGGGGGAAGTCCCACTGAATTCATTAGGACTAAACAGGCCTTAGAACTGCACAGCTTAACTTTGGTTGGACCATGCCCTTATTTTTATTCATCTCTTAAGTGCATCTTTTGCTACTAGCACACTCTTAGTTATTGCTCAATAACTGTGAGATAGAACAGAGGAAATACTTTCAGTTTAGTTTTATTATATTATAACATCTGCAACTACAGCTTATTCAGCCAAAAAAAATGTATTCCAAACTCTTTAAAAAATATCTACAATTTTTCTATTTTAAAAAATAAAAGCTACCTAGTATACCAAGACCGCTAACAGCACTTGAAAAAGGGTGCATTACGCATGGATATCCTACTGTAATTTCCGTTGCTGTCCGTGTTGTGTATTACTCCTTCCTCTGCTGCTTTGGTCTTAGGTTTCAAAGAGTTTATTAAAGGCTGCTCCGATTTCTAAAACCATGTCAGAGGCTGTCATAGACCGTCCACACTTCTGAAAGGCTTGGTTGTTGCACTGCCTCGTAAGTGAACAGGCTCCAAATGCAGCCACTAGGAAGGGGTTCTGACTAAAAAGGAAACAATAATCTTCATTAAAACTGGAATGGGACTGAATTTTTCAAGGAGCTTCAGAAATCTTAACTCACTCTAGGTATTCAGCATGGAAAGATATTTCAGTTTCTTGGGAGAGATTTGCATTTAAGTATACTGCCTTGCCTAACAGACAAGAATCTCTCATTAATTTTTCTGCTGCCCGAATGCACGTTTTATTGTTTATCTACCCCTTCCTCCCCAGTAGTTTCCCTCCCGCCCCCAGTGTAATTCCAGTGAAGAACTAGGCTGCTGAAAATGCTCAGGTATGACCAGCACCTTACCCATTTGTTTTTTCTGGTCCAGCGAGAAAGGCCCAGTGTGCTAGGACTCCAAGAGAACCTGAGAGGAGATCGCCTTGTCCACCACACCTTCTGCTGCTTCCTTCATGACTGCATACAAGCACTACAAAAAAAAAAGGGGGGGGGGAATATCAGGCTTAGGCTGGCTCAGCCAGTGGCAGCCCCGCTCCTGAGCAGGGTTTGGATCTGGCGTAAATTTTAACACCAGCTTGCTTTACGCCAGCTTCTTCTATATAGGATTGCTCACTAATTCACCAAAGTTTTCCAACTGTATTTTAAAGGGGAGAGGCGGGAGATGTAATGAGCAGTACCAAGTGGGCAGGGTTCCTCGGGCTCACGCCTGATTTAAGAAGTGGCAAGGTTTATCCGTTACATGATTGCAGTGCCATCTATTAGCTGCAAGGGCTAGAACAGAATTTCTGCCATATCCCTGAAGGGCCCATTATTTGTGCACACATATGAATATTCTAAGGGACGTGGGTGGTGCTGTGGTTTAAACCACAGAGCCTAGGACTTGCCAATCAGAAGGTCGGCGGTTCGAATCCCCGCGACAGGGTGAGCTCCTGTTGCTTGGTCCCTTGCTCCTGCCAACCTAGCAGTTCAAAAGCACGTCAAAGTGCAAGTAGATAAATAGGTACCGCTCCGGCGGGAAGGTAAACGGCGTTTCCGTGCCCTGCTCTTGTTCGCCAGAAGCGGCTTAGTCATGCTGGCCACATGACCTGGAAGCTGTACGCTGGCTCCCTCAGCCAGTAAAGCGAGATGAGCACCGCAACCCCAGAGTCAGCCACGACTGGACCTAATGGTCAGGGGTCCCTTTACCTTTATGAATATTCTAGATTATTATTTGCATTTATTAGTCACTTAACTTATGGAAATGACTCAAAGCAACTTACAGGCACAATGCAGTGTATACAGTCGTACCTTGGATCTCAAACACCTTGGCTGCCAAATGATCGAAACCCAGAAGTGAGTTTTCAAACGATTTTTGGAAGCCGAACATCTGGCATGGCTTCTGATTGGCTGCAGGAGCTTCCTGCAGCCAATTGGAAGCCACGCTTTGGTTTCTGAACATTTTGGAAGTCGAAAGGACTTCTGGAACAGATTCTGTTTGACTTCCAAGGTACGACTGTATTTAGTTGTCAAAGCCCAACTCCTGAAGTTTGCCAGTTCTTGGCCTGTTTTTCGCCATTGGCTATGAGGAACTTTGGGCGGAGGGGCTAGCTTCATGCTTTGTTAGTGTAAGTGAGGAACAACACTATCTCTCTTTTTAAAAGGACATACAGAGGGAACCACTGATTTGTTCTGTCATAAGGATTTGTAGGCAACAGCTTACATCAGCTGCATATGAAAGCACCCTGTGTGTTTGCTGCTGCATGTTATGTAATTATCTTCTGTAATTACTCACTAATTTCTGTATAATTCTGCAGGACTAATTACTTAGGAAAAATAAATAAATACACAAAAGAATCTCCTTTGTGGTTAGATGAACATTCTTATTAGCATGTAATTTTATCACACATTTGATGTGCCCCACAGCCCCAGTAGCTAACATTTTCTGTGTACATCTTAAATCAAATGTTTGCTGCCATTATTTGAGTAATCCATATTTAATACTGACACTTTCACTATAAATTCATTAGTCAACAATTTTTATCCATCTAATAAAACATCCTCCTCCTGCTTATAATGTTCAGTATTGAATCTATGCTTGTCAGCATTAGTTTTTGTTTTTCAGGATTATCTATCTATAATAGGACCAAGCAACTCTATTATCATTCTGTTTGCTGTGTTTATTTCTTCACTTACCTTTTTCTCCATCTGAAATAAGATCACGTTCGCCTTTCTGAACAATTGTCAAATTCCCCAAGGCTTGGCTGAGCCTTAGCAGACATCCATGATGATCATTGCTATCAACAGGGTCCCTAAGCTAAGACAGAGGCGGGTGGGGAATCAAATACAGAATCAAAATACTTTCGGTGATGTAAAATAATGCATGTTACCATCATTTTATGCACACATTTTATCAGAAAAACTACCCAGCCATTAATTCAGGAACGGGCAACCTGTGGTCTCATTTCCTGTCATCTGTGGTGGCTCCCTGATTGTGGAATGCTCTTTCCAGAAAGGCTCGTCTGGCACCATCATTACATGTCTTTAGATGCCAGGCAAAAACATTCCACTTTCCACAGGCCTTTGGCTATTAAATAATCTGTGGCCTGTGAAAGTGTGTGAGAGAGGATTGCCCTTTATTACGATTATTTTACTACTATAGGCTGTGTCTGTCAGTCTGCTTTTTCACTATGTTTTTATCATTGGTGTTTTGCAATGTGACTAATGCTGTACACCGCCTTGAGATCTTTTGATAAAGGGCGGTTATAAATTGAATTAGCAGCAGCAATATGCTGGGGTGGGGAGAAAGGGAGTGGAAAAGAGGTAATAGAAAGAGTCTACTTTTGGTCAGTACACTATCAAGCAGCCCCAGAGACCCCCAGCAAGTGACCTCTCACAGATTACCCCCAAAGGAATAAGACCCTTGCCAGAAAAAAGGTTCCCCACCTCTGCACTAATCAGTTATTACAGGCGGGTGCTGTCTCATGCAGGCTTTACTCAAACATAGATATTAGTGTTAAGGCTGCAAACCCTGAACATCATCATTAGGGAGAAGGCCCCACTGAACCCAGTGCTGTTCATAGGATTGAGCTATAAATGTAATTTGGTCTTGGATTTAATTTGCTTTCCTTAAGTATCACTGAAAACATAGTATGAACTCACCATAGCTTCATACAGTCTGCTGAACTCCATGGCATTCGGAGTAAGAATCGCTCTAGGGTAACCCTGAATGAGAGATGGCTGCTGGGCAATTAGCCATAAACCATCCTGCGTCGGGTAGCAAGAGAGAAACATTTACTGGCAAGAACAACATCATGCAAATAAGCTAATGAAAACATAATACTTACAGCATCAATTACGATAGGAATTCCTTTGACCTTCGATTTTTCTATGATACCCTGTGGGTTTTTTTTAAAAAAGAGCAGACTTTTAAGAACTGAAAATGAAACCTCTTCCCATTGTTCAATTAACTCTTACAGTTTCAAAGTAAAAATTCGAAAAACAGCTGTCTACTCCAAATAGGACTTAGCTGAATACAACCCCATGCTTACAAAATTGTTTCTCTTCTGGGTTACTCTAATTGTGGCTGAAACACAAAACGCATACTGCTGGATCCTTAAAACCACCAATGCAGGGATGGATGGTCAACCTTTTCCAACCTATAGGCCACATTTGCTGTTGGCCAGACCTCAGAGGGCTGCAGGCCAGCAGAAGATGCGGCCAAAGCTTGCACATGCAAAGACATGTTTGCACATGTATAAGAGTTCAGGCAGCAGGGAGGGTTTTTCTCTTTATCACAGTGCTGAGCCAGGAGGAAAGGAACCTCTCCTCTGAGAAATGCAATGTGATGGGGCGATCTCTCTCTGCTTTTCAGAGTTCATTCCGAAGAACAAATAAGAGTAGGAGGAATAGCATTCTCTCTGTTCTTCAGAGATCACTGAAGAACGGAGACAATGACTTTATCCCCCATAGCACTGCTGGGCTGATAGAAGAAACCTCTCCTCATCGTACAACAATGGGAAGAACAGCACTTACCTGGGAAAGGTGCCTCTTGTTCTGGTGCACCACTACTGTTAAGAGGCACGGGAAGAAGACCCCTTCCTGTTTCCTGAGTGCTAATACCTCTTAGCAATGGTGGTGTACTAGAGAAGTGACTCTGCTAAAGGAAAAGGCACCACCCAATATGCTAAGTGGCTTGGTGGGCCTGACTGGACCCCTGCATTAATGAAACACTGCCTTTATAAAATATTTGTTTTCTGACCACTGACCTGAGAGGTCAGTCTCTAGTGCTACACAGCATCTCCAGCCCTAACGTCCCACAACCATACTTTCCTACCTGGAACAATAACTAAGGCACAATCTGTTATGTCATGATTTACGTTGTGCACCTGTGCACCCTAATCTGGAAACAGATTTCATAGAAACTGCAGTTTGGGATCAGGGCATCAGAAGAACAGCAGAGGTCATCACTGGGCCATGTGGTTCATCTGTGTATGGTATATACATTAAGGGATTTGGGGAGGTTTACAAACATGTAACGGTTCCTTTTTTAAAAGTGAGATGGCCAGAAGCTATTGATAGTTTACCCAGAAGAAGGCGGCTATAAAGTGGTGCTAATCATATGATGTCATTATTATGGGACTTCTGCCCTTTCATTTCCATTTCTCAATTTTTTATAATGCAGACTGGTCCTACTCAAAAGTACAAGCAAGACAGTTCTCTAGATAAATGCTTCTTCATTTGCTCACCTTTTAGTGTAAGTGGGGGGAAATACCGTGACCTATTTCCATTGGTCACTTTATCACTGCCAGGACTAGGTAAGCAATAAAACCAAATGCCCTTGTTGCTGAGCTCTAGCAAACACCAGCAAGCAAAGGATGGCTTGGATATTATGATCCATCTTGAAACCACATTTACTGATGTTTTGTTACAACGGCTCAACTATGCCTCTATGTCTATTCCAAAGGGAGGTGGAGCTCTCCCACACAAAGAAACACAGGAGCATTGCGGATCTTGGGGATCATTAGGTTATCTGTAAGAGTTTCACATAAAGGCAACTTTCATCAACTTTAGCTGCTAATCCTGCCATTTTATAATCGCCTTCAATTTCCAACATCAAGAAGATCACCAACAGCGATGAATTCAAAACAGAAATTTAGTTTCATGAAAAAGGGTACATTAAAGAATCATTACTGTGCAAGGTATTACCTTGGCATTCTCAAGCAGTACATCATCTCTACCCAATCCAGGTCCGATAACAACCGAGTGTAGACGTGGCAGCCACTTTTCCACTTCATGAACAGCATCAGGGCTGTCACTAGACAGAGTAGAGCACAGATTGGCCTGTTTCCAAAAATCTGATTTCTTGCATTTGCAAGGAAGTGCAATTTTCAGCTTAAGTGTACTGGGTGCCAGCTCCCCAAGCTGCCTTCTGTAAACAACCACAACCAATTTCTCAAAGTATTTGGTTGGAAGCCGCCCAGAGTGGCTGGGGAAGCCCAGCCTGATGGGTGGGGTATAAATTATTATTATTATTATTATTGATTGCTAAACCATTTTTCTCCGGAATAAAAGCATGCCATATCCATACATTTATATAGATAATGTATCATCTCGGCAAAAACCCTAAGTGGTTCACAGAAATTATCATTTTTCCTTTTCTACAGGAGATGGCATTATTTGAATGTATGTGGGGAACCCGAGGAACTTCTATCTGCCTGGAAAGCTGACAAACGAAAGCAGGAAAGGGAGATGAAATTCCTACATGGCTGGCTGCCATGTTTCCTTTTTGGTTTTAGAAGAAGAAAGGAGGAATTCCCATGGGTAGCATACACTTCCTGTCCCCTCAAGTTCCAATCTCTATATGCCATGTGACTTGTTTCATATTTTATTTTCTGGCAATGACTTGATTTTATCGCCCCCCCCCCCCATCTCAAATTCCTGATCGTATATTTCAAACAGCAGTTGTAGCAACCAAACTTTTAAGATTTACAGTTGGGTGTAATACCTATCTATGCACATAGGCTTGTTTTAGCATAGGGCATCATTCAACTGGCTGCTGTGGAAGAGTCCCTTCTGTGTCTCTAAAAACAGCAACACTGTAGTAAGAGACTAAACTAATGGTTTGGACACAGCTTGGGTAGATAGAAAGGTTAATGCTGCAATTGGGACTTTCAGCACCATCACTTTTGGAAGGCAGAAGGTGGCACTATTTGCATATTATGTGAATACAATTAAAACATCATTAAAATGTTGTCTTGAAGTTTAGAGAAGTATTGGCATCTGGATTGGTTTTAGTTACAGCAAAACAGAAGCTGGCTACTGTGAGTCAAAGCATGGCAAGTGTGGCAGACATGCGGGATTGTCCCATATACCATTTAAAAAATATATTTGAAATTCCAGCCATTAAGACAGATCCAGAGACAGCGTCCTCCGGACAGGATGTGAACATCACAGCATGAAATGCTTGAGTATAGGATACAAAGGACCAGCTTCAAAGCCAGTAGGGTCACAAAAGGATTGGCGCCCTTCACCTGATCCTGGGAACCTAGCTCTGAGCTGCTACCCTAATACATGATCCATTAAGTCAAGTGAGAAAAATACAGGACGAAAGCAAAAGACAAAAAACGGAAAGGATACTTACAGAACAGGATGAACTATCAGCTCTGGGCTGTAAGACTTTATTACAGTTGCTGCGTCTTTGGTACAAAATACATGGGATATGTCTGCACCCTATGAAAGTTAACATATAGTTATCCATTGATACTAATACGACATCATGCAAAAGCTAGTCATTAAAACCCAAACAAGCCAGTTCCATGCTTTCTAGCTTGAGTCTCCCCTGTGACATTCTTACTTAGTGACTTACAGAACAAAGTGATTTTTAGGTCCATTTCTCATACTAGTTACCCCAGTCCTAAAGACATATACTTGAGCATGTCTCACGGACATCAATGGAACAAATTTGTTTAGGATCCAATATAAGTACTCTCTCTACATATCAAAGCCCGTTTCCAACATTCCTTAAAAATCTAGATGAAAAGCACATTCATATCTCTTTTCTCAAACATTGATAGCTTGGCTTTAGTAATACTTTGAACAGTAAAACATTTTGTTCATATGTGCATGGGTAGCTTCCTCCCCACTGGAACTCCGTTGTTGAGATCACAGTAGCAAAATACATTACAGACAAAATTCTACGCTGTGTATGATGGCTTTCTACACTTTATTATTAAGATGACAATTAGTATTTATTAAAGCAATCTTCTAAGGGCACAATCAGTTACTATCCACATACTCGAGTCAGTCTGATTCCAAAGCTTTCGCTATAGCGCTTACCTTGTAAGCTTCAGACGAAAAACCGCTAGCAAGAGACTGCGTGGATGATTTCGCTGCGAAGCAACACCTGAGTCAGAGATACAAGCAGAAGCTTGTTCATTACACATAGCGCTGCACCAGGTTTAAGTACCCTTAACGTGGTGTGATAATGGGAGTCACAGGTGGTACTGTGGATCTAAACCACCAAGCCTCTTGGGCTTGCCGATCAGGAAAGGTCAGTGGTTCAAATTCCCCGTGACGGTGCGTGAGCCTCCCGTTGCTCGATCCCAGCTTGCCAAACCTAGCAGTTCGATAAGCACGCTAAAAAGTGCCAAGTAAGATAAAGTAGGTACGGCTCTGGCGGGAAGGTAAGACCACCGTTTCCGTTGGCGCTGCTATGGTTTCAGGTTATCCATTGCGCCAGAAGCGGCTTAGTATTATGCTGGGCCACAATGAACCCGGGAAAACTTGGTCTGCGGACGAAATGGCCCAGCTCCCTCAGCCTGTTTAAAGCGAGATGGACGCCGCAACCCCAGTCGTCTGCGACTGGACTTAACTGTCCGGGGTCCTTTAACCTTTTTTTAACTGTTGGATAATTACCAGTGCCTTTGAAATCGGGGTGAGGAACATGTGGACCTCCAGGTGTTGCTGGATTACAACTCCCATCAACCCTGAACTAGCCATGTAATGTTCCTTACCCACTTTAACAAAAAGTTAAGAGAGTACATACCACTTTGAGAGCTGAAATTGCAGCAAAATACGGTGCCCCTGTATACCTAGCAAAAAAAAAAAGAATTTTTTTAGGAGGCATATTTATTTTGCTAACAAGTTTGGTTGCTGAATTGGGATAAAGACAACTAACTAAAAATCATCATATTTCCCCCCACCTGCTAATTATGCATATGTTTTGAAGTCTTAAATATGAGTTATGACACTATCACAATCGAGCACCAGCAGAGAAGACTCTTGCCTACTAACAGCTAAGGGCGTTTATGTTCAGTTAATGTGGTAGCTGCAAAGTAACAGATCTTGTCTCTTCTTTGGCTTGCTTCCAAGGCTCATACTTCATAGCTGTGATGAGCAGACTTTCTTCTATGATAAACTCTAAGCCAGCCTTTTCACAAATAACCAGACTCTCATTGCAGTTTGAGAAAAACGTGATTGTACAGCTGCTTCTGTGGAACCTGAACGTAACCAGGAGGAAACCACTCTGGGCACTGAATATCAGATGCTCAAATTAAGACAGACATGTACTTTTTTTTTGGTTAGGCCAAGCAGAAGCTCTTAGATTAGGCATTATTAAATATAAAATCTAATGTTATAGTAATAGTTTCTTCTCAGCATTATGAAGATTTGTCATCTTCATGCTGGGTCCTGCACTGCAGGGCGTTGGACTAGATTATTCTTCCAACTCTACAATTCTGTGATTCTATGAAAGTACACAAACAGGTCTCCAGATTTCAAATCCTTGTGCTATGCTGGGCTGTATCAGGACTGGGAAGCATCTTTGGCACTGACGATATGGGAAAATCCAACCATCAGACATTCTAGTGTATTACACCGTAGCAGAATATTAGGGATTTTTTTCCCAAGGCGGAATGAAGACCCAGAGGCCGTGACGAAGAGCCGGAGGTTACAACTTCCCTACCCTTAAATCAAGGAGATGCAGGGTTTTTATTTTGCATCCAAATTCAGCATGGAAAAAAGTTAGTTATTTTACTTATATAAATTCTGAAAATTGAATCACAGTCTCTTAAAATCTACCCTGTTTTCCTATTTTCCCTATTTTATTCTGATTAGACTAATGGGAAGCAGCTAGGTTAGCATTAGGAATCTCATCTGGTTATTCTTTTTGGTTTCTGGGCTTTTCATTCTGCTCTCACGTGCCAAGTGTGTATTTGCAGGTCTAAGGGAAAGCAACTTAACTCTCTTTAGTGGAAGCTGAGATTCCTGGAAAGTTGAATTCTATACCTAACTGCACATTCTGCCCTTTTTCTACGCTCACGGAATTGTACCACACATGCGCGCGCACACAAACAAATTCATTTCCTTAACAGTCAGCACAAATAACACTTCTCATGAAAGCCAAACATTTGCACAATGATGGGATCTCAAAAGGAATGTGAATTATGGCTGAAGATGCAGTTAAGAGCTAAGCTCTCAAGGTCAAATGGTACACCTTCCTTATTTCCCTAAGAGCTATGGTCACATGACATACGCACACATTTGGCCTCAAAGTAAAAAAAAAAAAAAAAGAGGATTAAAATGACTTTTAAGACATCTTCAGGTGTTTGATTTAAATGTGCAAGAAAGAATGTGGGAATGTGAGAATTGCCTCTAGACAACCAGGCAGGAAACCATGCCTAATAAAAGTAAGAAAATGATTAAAATATATTTTTTGCAAGTTGGTAAGGTGCCAAATAAGGGACAAAGGGGTGCTGTGGGTTAAACCACAGAGCCTAGGGCTTGCTGATCAGAAGGTCGGTGGTTCGAATCCCCGTGATGGGGTGAGCTCCTGTTGCTTGGTCCCTGCTCCTGCCAACCTAGCAGTTCAAAAGCACGTCAAAGTGCAAGTAGATAAATAGGGACTGCTCCGGCGGGAAGGTAAACGGTGTTTCCGTGCGCTGCTCTGGTTCGCCAGAAGCGGCTTAGTCATGCTGGCCACATGACCCGGAAGCTGTACGCCGGCTCCCTCAGCCCAGAATGAGCGCCACCCCAGAGTCGTCTGTGACTGGACCTAATGGTCATGGGTCCCTTTACCTTTAAAGGTGCCAAATAGAATTTTTTTAAAAAGGCATGCTCAAGGAGGGCTAGTAAAATGTGTTGCAGCCTAGTAATACCTGAAAACTTGCTTGCAAGAATGTTATGCATTTTCTTTTAACTTACTCTTGGCATCCTCCAATAATTCCTATTCGTCCATCTTGGCCTTTATGCTTTTTGGCAGTTAGAGGAGGAATAACATTCCGCACCAGTTGAAATATATTCTCCATTTCCTTTACAGAATGTGTTTTGTGCACTGAGAATGATCTTTCTATAACTGAAAAAGAAATAAAGACATTTAAATAATTACTTTAAATTCAAACATTTCAAAGCATTCACTGATAACATGAATATTTCCAAGAAATTAGAGTATTAAATATTCTTGCTTGTATCTTCAATTAACCAGCCCTATTCAATTAATAACACTTCCGTGTTCCCCAACAAGGGAGCAGGAACACACCAAAGAGCCCTCCCCGCTAGCCTTTACACGATGAACAAAACCACAATCTACACCTCTGTGAAATCTGGGTTCCAGGTCCAGTGCCAGGTCTATTTTACAGGTACAGCTGAGCACACAAAGGCTCAATTGATTCAACTGGCTACATTGTTTGCGTAATGTCGCGTGGCAGGGGCAAGCCAGCATGCCTGGTGCAGATATCTGATCAGAAAACTGTAAGAACAGTATTAGCGCCAACTTGGTTTTCTGCATCTGCGTTGCACTGCACACCCAAAGTAGCCATGGTATCAAACAATCATACAGATGCTTATTTCTCTTGTATGGCCAAGTGGCAATGTCAAAGGGACAATGTGTGTGCGCGTGAGGGGTGGGAATACAAGTGAGGGGAAGGTGGTGGTGCCTGAGCTCCAACCCTAATAACTTTCATGTGATGATCTCCAAGATTTCCCAGTCATCCAGTTTTATTAGTTGCAGGCCAGCTTTCATACAAGGATGTAATTAACTCCTACACCCGGAAGAACAGCACTGAGCAAGAAGAACTTGTGCTGACAAGAATTATGAACTCGGGCCTAAGCCACTTATATCTCAAATTGCAAATTAGAAAAAGATTTAAATGGTCTTAGATAACACTCACATTTTTTTGTAATAAAAATCACATAGTTAATAGATACCGAGTCAATGGTTAGGAGTTAAATAAAATGCTGGTTTTCTAGTCATAAATGGGTATTAAAAGACCCAAAATTTGTTCAAAATAAGCAACAAAATAGCCTTCCATGTTTCTGCAGCTTAAAAAAAACCCTACTTTTACAATTACGCTTCCAATTGACAATTGTATCACATAATTAGTAACTACCAATCAGACTGCTGCTCTTCGTTAGTGTTTCTGCTGAAGCGATGTCTACTTTTTAAACTGCCCGTTCATAATGTGCTTAGTTATCACAGTCAGATGAATCTAACAAAGAGCTCAAAGTATCCACAGTGCGAAAAACGTATCTGAAAAAGTCAGCATCAAACAAGAAAACTCCAAGTGGTTGCAAAATCAGCAAAATCTCTTCATTCTCAATACAACCCCTTCCACAATCAAACTTACTTTTTTCCAGTAAACATTAAGTCCTTTCAGGTCAATATTCTGATCTCATCCTTTACAATGGAAACAATTCTTTAATTAATGCACTCCGCTTCCACTGATGTTATTTACACAACATGTTGACACATCTGTAACATATCTCCAACTGCATTAGAGACCCCAGCTTGGATCACTCTAGGTGTAACTGTTTTATTCTGGTCATCCAAACAAGGAAGTCTGTAGTCATGGTAAGCAGTTGCAGTGAATAGAGAACCATGCTGAATGCTAAAACCCCTCCTCCTTTCCTTTGGGGCTTCTATCAGTGACAGAAACTCCCCACATATATTTATACATTTCTGCACTATCCCAGGAATGAAAAAAACAATAGTGTATCCTACGATATTCGGACCAAAGTACAAATCATGATGAAATTCATGAGAGCCATCGAAAGATTATGAGCACAGAGAAAGAAATGAAAACAGCTGCATTGCTGCTACTGCCTTCACAGTACAACTTACGTACTGTGTCCTCCCTCCCTCTCTCTCTCTACACACACACACACACACACACACACACACACAATTTTCTAAAGATTTGTAACTTTTCTTGCCATTTTCCTTGTGTTTTTTAAATGGCATATTCTTAGACAATTGGATAAAACGTCCAAAATTCACAAAATAGATTATATAAAGTGATAGTGAAAGCAGATTAATGTCAAGTATTGAAAGCCTGAAAGGAAACTCCAGTTTACCCAGAATATGATTAAGCATAAGCAAACACTATCACTTTAAATAGATCAGCTACCTATTAACACCCTGTTATGCTCATAAAAGGGGTTAAACATTGGAGTATAATTTTATTTAGTAGTAGTATTGTAGAGGCAAAGATCTCCAAATTATCTACTTAGAACACAATGCTATGTATGCCTACTTGGAAGTAAGTCTCCATGCATCAAAAGGGTCTTAAAGCCACTAGCGATTGAGGTCCCAGAATCCAACAACATGATTTTGTGAATAGAACCTACATTTAAACACAAGTTGGTACCTAACAAATACATAGTTCTCCTGCATCTTGGTTACCTCTAGTCCTGAAGAACACCAAAACAGTCTGCAAGTAGGTAGCATTAGAAGACTCCTTGCAGTCAGTTTTCAAACTGTGTTCCTTGTGAATACCAAGATGACAAGAAAAGATAGCATGCACTATTACTCATCTTTCAATGTGAAGTTGGATGGGAGTATTAAACATATTTAGACCAAAGGTCTATCTAGTTCCTGATCTGTGGTATGCACTCCAGTTGAGCTTCTGATAATGTGCTTGCAAAGGATTTTGGAGTGACCCTTCTGACTTGGGTAAAAGAAGTTGAAAGGCAATCTCATTTTTGGGAAGTTGCCTCTTTCAAAGTCAAACGTGCCCATGCTGCATTTTTAAGGCAACAGCTATATTGACATTTGAACTCACTTGCCTTGCAAATTAACACTAAGGCTACCCTAATACTATTCAAGTGTGGTAGGAAAATCTACTGCAGAAGACAGCCTCAGGACCATGAAGTGCAAGTACTAATGAAAATATTTCGCTGACTAGGATGCGATTTCACGCTGATTGCCAGCCCAGAAGTAGAATATCCAAGACTAATTCTATTCCCTAGTAAGATGGAAGTAGACTTGGATACAAAAAATATAAAAACTGCTCTAAAACCAGCCACCTTCTAAAAGTATTTACTATAAGTACTTATATATTATGCTTTTAGACCATCCCTGGTAATTACCGATGTTTCAAGCGCAAAAACTATTACTTCCAGAATTTCTATGAAACACTAAAGATCAAGCAATATGAATTTTATTTTAAAGATGAACAAAATTCCCTTTTTAATCCACTAAATTCACAACTGATTGCTCTACATTTTTAAAAAAGGGCTATGTAAACTACATCAGTGATCATGATCTGTTCCATGATAACTCTGCAAAAGAGCATAACATTAAATAAACACCATTATCTATGTAGACATTTCAACCAAGCCCAGTGTTTTCATTCATTTTTCACATATACCCATGAACCGCCACCCCACCCCAACTCCCCCGGGTACTATTTCACTGGCTTTAGAAAAATTCACCACAAATGTGCACAAAAATCTTAGCTACCGGACCCCAACATCATTTATACAATAGAATGTAGTACCTATGGGTGGCGAAAGTGATGTTGACATAGAATTAAAATTAAAATTATCTCCGTATGATCGGTGATTTGATCTCTGTGAAGGATTGCTAGGTATATACTGGGACCTTTGTGATACTGTGGAAGAAATCCCTGCTAACATCTGTCCCAACATCTGCAACATCTGGAGCTCTCTGGCGTGCTCAGCTTCACGCCGTTTGTCTTCGATTTTAAGCCTCTGCTCTTCATATTTGTAAAATTTCTCTTCGGTATCCATGCTTTGTTGCAGAAACTTCTCCATCATTTTGTCCAGTGTTAAGTTTGCATGGCGTTTTTTTGATCTTTTAGCCTGAGATAATAAGGGTGGTGCATTGGTGTGAGCATTAATTTGTTTAAAACCTAAAACAAAAGCAGATAAGTTAGTTTTTCATGTTTTGACCAAACTTAAGAGAAAATTAAATAGTGAAGAATGTCACTTTAGTTACAAAAATATTTCCAGTAATCAGGTAGTTTTCATACTGACATAATTTATATGTTTCTATAACATTTATGTATGTATGTATGTATGTATGTATGGAACTTGAACAACCAAAATTTTTAAACAAGTATTTGTGTATTGCAGATAATTGCTCAATTCAACTTTTTACAGTAGAAGCCTATGCATGTTTACTTGGAAGTGAGACCCATTATATTCTGTGGAATTTACTTCCAGATTAAGTGTGCACAGGACTGCAGCCTTAATGCCCTGCTTTCAGATCTGCATTGCAAAAGGTCACAACTGTAAACCTCTCCCCTTTGATGTTATTTATGTGTAAAAAGTTTGTTTCAAGTGTGACTATTAGCCTAAGGACACCAATTTGAAGCCAGTTTTGTGTGGAATATATGCAGATTTATGCATGTGTATTAGCTCTGCCCAATTCAAATAAAACTCAATCATGAAAAAAGACAAAGGCACAGATTCCAGTTTTTCTGCTTTAGAATTGTTTTCTAAAAATAATACACACACCTACATGCGAAGGAAGTACAGACCTCCCTACATGGTATCGCTTCAATTTGTTTGTGGAAATTTAAATTTAGCCTGAGTTGTGTATGTGAACAATAAATATGAGGGTGGAGGGCTTTTGTTTTTAACCCAGATGAAAAGTTGTGTATTTACAGGAGAAATACTATAGAATATATTGTCAAATAAAGATGCATGGTGACCTTTAGGCCTGCCAGCCTAACAACCCTCCTGCTTTAAAATCATCATCATCATCATCATGCAAAAGAATTTCAAGTTTGGGGCACTGTACATCTGATTTACACTGCATGCAGTATTCTTGCATTAGGTGTATGAGCTGGCCGTTTGTGTTTAAATACAGAGATGACCATATGTAAATGACCACAGATTCTCCCCAATCACAGAAGGGAAGAGGGGATGGACAATGCCAGCTAAGGACTGGTGTGCGTGGCCCAAGTTGGTGCTTCTAAACTAAAAAAGAGGATGCAAAAGTGATAATTGCAGCGCTGTTGAGATGGCAGACCCTTTAGTGGGTTCTGGGCCCCAGCAGGTGCCCACCCTCACAACAGTGGAATGTGGGGTGTGTGTGGTGTGTAGTGTCTTCAGAACTTTGGACTTTCACCATACACAAAAAGGAAGTCTTGATCTGCCACTGTATTTTTGTCGCTATTGGATATGCCTTTTATGTAGGTGGTATATCCAGGACAAAGAAGCTCCCTGGTTATATTTTATAGCCCACTCCTAATACGGAGTAACAGGGATTCATTTTAAAACAGAAGTCACCTGACAATACCAAAGGAAGGAAGGACCATTTGACAACACTAACAGGCCACAGCAGTGCCACAGCTATGGGGGTGGAGTGGGGGACTAGCCAGGGTTTTTTTTGCCCTGGGTTAAGCCTCCCAGCCTCTGCGTGTGTGTGTGTGTGTGTGTGTGTGTGTAAGCAAACATCTGGGCTCTCTTCTTCTTTTGCCAAACTGGGTCTTTGACCCAGGTGACACAAAGCCTACTTTCACCCTATCCAAAAGGAAAGGTTAGGCGGAGAAATCTCCAGAGTTGTTTGGGTGTGTGATTGAAAGTAGGGAGTGGGGCATTGCCTTTCCTTTTAGACAAGAGCAGGGCAAACAAAATACACAGCGCTGCTGCTCTCAGGGTGAAGTCATCATGAGAACACCAGCTTTCCCCCAACACTTCATATTTTGGAGAGAGACATCGGCACAGACTGGGGAGGAGCAGGGCAATAAAAACAGGGCGTGTGTGTTGTGCGCCTGTGAGGGGGGCGCGATTGTTCTATGGATGCCCCCCCCCAACGCGCAACATTGTTCAGAAAAGCAGGGATAACGGGGCTGTTTCTTTGTGGCAGGTGCCATAACAGAGACTGAGACTTGTGCCTCCCTCGACTTTCTTTCCTTTCTCTCCACTCACCTTCTGCCGGCGGTAGCGGGATGGCGAAGGGCGGGCACTCCACTTTGATGGCGTGCTCGGCGTAGGAGGAGCACTCCCCGGACTCCTCGTGGAAGTTGTCCCTCGGGGGCGACTCCAGCAGCTCGCCGCCTTCCTCGTCCAGCTCGTCCTCGTCTTCCTCCTCCGCGTCCACCTCGCGAAGCAAAGCCCCGCCGGGCCTGGCAGAAGGGGGCGCGGCGGAGGCGGCGGCGGCCAGGATGGCGGAGGCGGCCAGGGCGCCGGGGTGCTGCTGCTGCTGCCTCCGCCGGCACCCGGGCTCCCCGCCGGCCGCGGGGCTCAGAGGCCTGTCGTCGAGGCCCGCCGCGCCGGCCCTCCCGCTGAGGATGCGGTCCATCTCGTCGTAGTACTTGCAGATCTTCCTGGCGTGCCCGTTCTTCTTGAGCCCCTCCCGGGCCTGGTAGTACTGGCGCTTGAGGCCCTTGATGCGGATGCGGCACTGCTCCGGGGTGCGCTCGAAGCCCAGCTCGGCCAGGCGGCAAGCCACGTCCCGGTACACATGGCTGTTGCGAAAGTTGCCGTCCAGGGCGCTCTGCACGTCCGCCTCCCCCCAGATCTCCAGCAGAGCCCGGGTCTCCAGGTCCGACCACAGGAAGCCGCGCGTGTTGGTGATCATCCTGGCGGAGGCGGCCCGCCCACCCGTGCGGCCGCGATCGGACGGGAAGGGGCGATCAATGGCAGGCCGGCGGGGGTCAGCCGCCCGCCCGCCTCGCCGCAGCCCCTCCTCCCGCAGTTCCCCCCCCCTCCTCAGCGACCCCGGTGAGGCGGCGGTTGCGGCGGCCGAGATCCCATCCCTTCCCTCGCCGGCGGCGCCTCACGCGCCCCGCTCTCGCCGCGCTCTCTCCGTATAGTCCGCCAACCGAAACTTTCCCCACGCAACGAACGGGGCCTCCGCCGCCGGCCTGACGGGCCTGGCCTTCCTCAGCCTCGTCTGCGGCTGTCGCTCCCTCGCCTCAGGCGGCGGGAGCTCGGTGGCGGCGGTGGCGGCAGAGGAGGGGGCTGCGCTTGGAGGCCCATCGCCTCGCGGAGGCCTGAGGCCGCGGGGCTCGGAGAAGAAGCGGCGGGCGGCGGCTGGCGAGAAGCACCGGCGCGGCCTCTTTCCCCCCTCCGCTCGCTCCCCGGCGGGCCCAAGCCGGCCCGGCGTCAGCAGCGCGCATTGCGCTCAGGCTGCCCCCTCCCCTTCGTGTGCGCGCACACTCGATACAACCACACACACACGCGCGCGCACGCGCGCCAGTCGCCCAGGTTCACACACAAAGCAGCGAGGGTGTTTGTCGCACAACTTCAGTGGTGGGGGGGAAGGGGAGAACAATAGGCAACGGTCTCCTCCCGAGGAAAAGGCGTCGCGTACCTTGCGCCCCTCTCTCCCCCCCCCAAAAAAACAATGCTGCATTCAAACAAAAACGCATGGTGGAGACGAAGGGGTTTCAGGCAGGAATGCGAAGGAGGGACCTCTCTCCACGCGCCAGGAAGACCACGGAGAGAGACGGGGAAACGGGTTGGAAGGAGCGCGCACACGCCAGCACCAACATTGCTAGACGGCCTTTCCCCCAAAAAGCGCAGACAGGGATAGACTCCAATCGAAGCAGTGGAAAAGAAAAGAAAGCGCCTTCCGTTTGCTTTGCTTGACAGCTTGCTGTCGTTTTCGACAAACATTACCACGAATCCGAAGCGACGGGCAGTTTTATCCGGCCATGCTCCCCACCAGCACCTTTCCTAAAGCGAACGTGAGAATCAGCTGACACAAGAGGTGCTACTCGTCCTTTTCCCCTCCCCACGGTGAAACCACAACAAAGACACGCATGTATTTTTTTTGTTACGGGCGTTTTCGTTGGATGTTACGTCGCAAGAAATGCTGCTGCTACTATCTAACCTTTTAAACACCGGGTTAGCGCCAAGAAGGTACGACGAGAGTACAGAAATTATGACCCTCTTTATTATGTTGAAAAGGATAAAACGCCATATTTTAAAAAAGCAAGAAAGATAAGCAATTCTAGCCTACGACTGGAGGATTTTCTCGCCATACAAACTACTATGAACTACTTCGTAATTTGTGATGACTTGCACCAGTTAAATGGGTCATCACAGGTGTAACCGGATAGATTGCTTTCACATCACCTCCTGATGGATTAAGCTACCTACCAATAAATCGTGTAGAGAAGTCAAGAGATGTCCACACCTCGTATAATCAGCCCTTTCTGTCAACTGTTCGGTGGCGAGTCACCCTTCACAAAATCTAGACTGGTCGATTTTTTATTCTGTGGTCCAGGGCTTCAATCTGCGGGCATGAGCATTACATTCTGACCTGATGGGTTTCTTTAAATTCTCGGTGACTATAGAGAGATGAGATGACTGCAATGGGTTTTAAAAACATGCACACCCATACGTTTAATCTCAAGCCCTAAACCATATCTTGCTTATATATTCCAGTATGTCATGCACCCAAACTCATCCGTTTATCTTCGAATCTGCTTGCACTACCTCAGCTGTGGCAATTATTTTTAAGCAGGCGAGGCGGGCTACAAGCAGGCAATAACTTAACAGATTCCATTTAAAAATGCTTTTAACTCCCCCCCCCCCGCAAAAAAGGCCCCTCTCCATGTCTGGTCTGTGGCTAACTGCAGATAAGCAAATCTGGCGCACGAAAGGCGATTTTGGGTACTGTACCTTTTCCATACTGCAGCCAGAGCACCGCTGCTGCTGAGATCAGTACTGCGATCACACAGGTGTCCCTTCCCCAAACCATCCCTGAGAAAAGGATTTGCACGAGCTCACCGCGGGGCCCTGCCTCGCCCGAGCGGCTTGGACTCTGCTCTCCCGCCTCTTACCTAGCCGCCAAGCGGGGCTCGAACCAGCCGCTGCCAAGCACGCGCGCAAGCGGCACACAAGATGCATCCGAGCTGCTTCCGGGTCCGACCCGCAGCGAGTGGGACGCTTAGGCCACTTTCGCCCCGCCTCCTAAGCCCTCGGGAACGCCCCCTCGTGGGAAGCCAATCTGAGCTGGCTCAGCCCACTGATTGACAGTAGACATGCAAACGCGCAAAAGGTTAGTAGGCGGGGCTAGTGCTGCTATAGAGAGCGTGCTTTTTTTTCCTTACCTGGAGACTGACTCACGTGTAACAGCGGCCGCGTTGCTGCTGCTGCTGCTGCTGCCGTTCAAAGAGACTCATTCTTTTATTGAGTCGCAAACACGCCGGTAGAGGGGTGGTGTTTTCTTGCAGTCGCTCTCTCCCATTGATTTCAATGACGTTTCCTGCGCCATTAATTATGCTTGGGATTGTAATCTTAAATTTCCGAGGCGCAGTTCAGCCCAGCCGCAAGAGGAACCTGTTTTTTTAATTACAGTCCTATAAGTAATTTGAGAAGGAGCAGATCGAGTGCCTGCAACGTTAGCAAATAGCCAGACTCACAAACACACACCTAATGTTCAACCAAAATCTCTCCTCCTGCAATATAAACCCACTAGATTTAATCCTGCCCCTTTGGGGCAGGCAGCAGACCCTTCAGGTATTTGATAAGTGCTATCACGTCCCTACTCAGTCTCTAGGCTAAAAATACCCAGTTCCTTCAACCTTTCCACATTGGACTTGTTTTCTATACCACTGACTTATCTCTGAACCCATGAGGATTCTCTTCATACTGAAAAAGAAAAACAAAGTGAAGAATGAAGACCTATTATTTAATACAGGGTATAAAGGAAGATGGGACGTGGGTTAAACCACAGAACCTAGGACTTGCCAATCACAAGGTCGGCGGTTCGAATTCCCACGATGGGGTGAGCTCCTGTTGCTCTGTCCCTGCTTCTGCCCACCTAGCAGTTCAAAAGCACATCAAAGTGCAAGTAGATAAATAGGTACCGCTCCGGCGGGAAGGTAAACGGCGTTTCCGTGCGCTGCTCTGGTTCTCCAGAAGCGGCTTAGTCCTGCTGGCCACATGACCCGGACGAGCTGTACGCCGGCTCCCTCGGCCAATAAAGCGAGATGAGCGCCGCAACCCCAGAGTCGGTCACGACTGGACCTAATGGTCAGGGGTCCCTTTACCTTTACCTTTATAAAGGAAGCTATGACGTGCAACTAATAGCATACACTTTAGATGAGCTATCTCTGTGTCACAGAAGTAGGACATGCTCCTCTTATCCCCAGATTATCTATGTCAGCGATGAAGGGTGTGACGCCTTGCTTATTAGGCAACACATCTGGAACAGCTGTAGAGACATTGCTGCACAGGTGTACTGGGTATGACTCTCCTAAAGGGAAGACAGGCACTTATTACAGCAGTGTTTCCCAAACTTGGGTCTCCAGCTGTTTTTTGGACTACAACTCCCACCATCCCTAGCTCGCAAGATGGGAACTGCAGTCCAAAAGCAGCTGGAGACCCAAATTTGGGCAACACTGTCTTACAGCATGAGCAAACAATGCAAAAGGAAGGCATACCTTCCAAATAACCTGTGCAAAATTATCTAACACTGTTCTCTTTAGCAAGCAAATTATATCACAATTTTATAGAATTGCAGTAACTGGGATGATGAACATCGCTCTTTCTTCTAGGTTCTACACCATGGGTAGGCAAACTGAGGCCCGGGGGCCAGATCCGGCCCAATCGCCTTCTCAATCCAGCCCGCGGACGGTCCAGGAATCAGTGTGTTTTTACATGAGTAGAATGTGTCCTTTTATTTAAAATGCATCTCTGGGTTATTTGTGGGGCATAGGAATTTGTTCATTTTTTCCCCTTCAAAATATAGTCCGGCCCCCCCACAAGGTCTGAGGGACAGTGGACTGGCCCCCTGCTGAATAGGTTTGCTGACCCCTGTTCTACACAGTGTCTTTCAAGGTTCTTCCAAAATCTCCCACTCTTGAATAGACTGGCTGGCAGGGAGCCTTTCCCAATTTTAATACAACCAAATTTCCAGCATCTCCTGTTCATGCATCACATGAAACTGCAGAGGGAAACGTATCTTCCGACATGTCAAAAGTGCCAATGAAATGGGTAAACAAGAATTTTATGTTAGATTAAGAAAACCGCAGCAGCGATTTGAGCTAATGAAGATAATAGGTGACATACATGGCTTTCATCTCCAGGCTTTTAATTACTATATGCACAGTTTCAATAGGAATCTTGCCTGGTTAGGTTGTGGGAGTTCTGACATAGCTAGTGCAGTAACAGCGTAGGTGTTAGAAGCACAAAATTTAGTATACTCCTCTAACCGCTTCTATGTCTGTCGGAAATTATTGGGGCTTGCTTCTGGATTGATGTGGCTAGGACTGCTCTTTGATAATGTACCCTACCTGTGTTTCTTTGGAAGTAAGTTTCACTGAGTTTAATGAAGCCTACTCCCTAATTAAGTGTGTTTAAGATTGTAGCTGTGCAGTGTGATAGTGCAAACCTTATCCAAAAGGGAAGATCCACTGTGTTCATTGAGGTTTACTCTCCACTGAATGTGTACACAATTGCAGCAGCATAGTAGTGCTTGATATTACTAAGATAAATAAGATTACTAATAGTTGTGGGATCCATAAAGGTAAAGGGACCCCTGACCGTTAGGTCCAGTCACGGACAGCTCTGGGGTTGCGGCACTCATCTTACTTTACTGGCTGGGGGAGCTGGCGTACATGTGGCCAGCATGACTAAGTCGCTTCTGACGAACCAGAGCAGCGCACGGAAACACCGTTTAC